CCCTTAAAAGCAAAGTCTCTCTCTCAAAAGTTGAAATGGGCATAATATTCTTATCCTGGTTTTGACATCGACAGGTTTTTCCCCACTTGCCCCGGGCCTCAAATTTGAAGTCTTTCGAGACAGAATAGGATATGTTTAAAAACAAAACCACAAAAAATAAAGCAAAAATACCCACCCTCCACCAAGCTTCTAGAACTTTGGAGATCTGTAGTTCAAAATTTAGAAATTTCTATCACTCAGAAGCATTCTGTTGAATGAGAAAGCACAAGCATAATTTCTGGAGTTCTTCCTGTTCTCTGCCCTCAAATTTGCAGTGAAATTTTATCTTTGTCCTAATTGTTAACTGACTGAGTATTTCTTCCTCCTCCAACAACCTTTTAAAGAAAAGATTCTCCCAGACTTGTGTGTCACTCATTACAGTTTCTGTAAGTTCAGGTTCATCAGGGGTTGTCAGTGTCTGCTCTGTGATGAAAATTGAGACTCTCTTCTTCTCTCCCCCTCCCAGGTTACAGAAGCATACAAAGAATACGATTATAGCAAAGTTGTTCGATTATTGCAAGCGTTCTGTTCCAGAAACTTGTCTAACTTTTATTTCAGCATAATCAAAGACAGGTAAATTCATTACTGCTGCCTATAAAATGGGAAAAAACAAGTTAATTAACTTGAGATGGAGGTAATAAGATTCCAGGCAGTAGCCGAGTGAGAACATTTCAGAGTTACGTACTGTGCTTCAGTGCACTAAAGCTCACTGGGTGAAAGCCAGCCGAGCTTTCACCTAGTATTTTTGTCATCAGTGTGCTTCTCTATATTCTGTCCACAAGGGGCATTGAATCATTCTGAAACGTAATCAAGCGTATGCATTTAGAACAAGTTTTAAAGAATGGTACTTGGATCTGTATTTCTACCTGAAGTGTGTGCATCGGAGTTTGGGAAGGTAGAGAAAAAGGCTTTTGGCACTTACCTGGGCAACCTAATGCCTTGCGCTGATTAAAAAAAATATAAGTAAAGAATCCCAAGGATGTGACTGATACAGTAAATTTTGAAAGGGTTATTTTATGGGGGAAGGGGGTAGAGGATTCTACTGATGGAGTGTTATACTGCCCTTTAGTTTCCAGAATGGAAGTAAAGAGGGGGGAGAGGGGAGAAAAAAGCTCTAATGCCATATTTTATAGATGAACCAGAAAAAAGGGCTAACAGAGCTGCAGGCTCACCTCCTGGAGGAAAGGTTCTCTCCTGTACAAATGAAGCAAATTACTGCCCCATGTACAAAATCTCCCTTCCTATCACAAAATGTGGCTGTGTAGACAAATATGCCCATCCCTGTGCCACTGTGCTTGTCTGGGAAGGGCAATTAAGAAAAGCTTTCCTTAGAAAGGCAAGCTAGGTCACACTTCTGCACTTTCAGCAGCAGTCCTGAAAGCGCAGCTCTTGAGCAAGAACGGGAACATGAGCGTACAAATACTTCTCAGCTTTCATCTTGGTCTTGCAGGCTCTATTGTGAAGAAGAAAAAGATCCCAAGCGCCGTTCGTGTCAAACTGTGCTAGCAGAGGCTTTAGACATTGTTGTCCGATCCTTTGCACCAATTCTTCCTCACTTGGCAGAGGAGGTTTTCCAGTACCTGCCTTATAAGAAAGGTAAAGCAGGGATAAATTCTAAGGAGTTCTTTTAGGGTGCTGTTATCATTGCGCAGTTAAAAGGACTGCAAAGACAGAGCTACAACGTTCTTTTTTGATTCATTTAATAAATGCTTGAATAGGAAGAGAGTAAATTAAAGATTCCTGCTTGCTTTTCTTTCAAGACTCAGACGGTGTGTTTCGTACTGGCTGGATTAAGGCAAGCTCAGCGTGGAAGAAGCCTGGCATTGAGGAAGCGATAGAAGGTGCATGCGCAATGAGAGACTCTTTCCTTGGGTCCATCTCTGGCAAGAATGCTTTGGAATACGAAGTTGTCATCGTAATTGAGCCTGGATTGCTCTTTGAATTAATGGAGGTAAAAGATGCAACCAAGAATAGTGGCGTCTGGACAAAAATTAATTTCTGTAAACTTTCTTCTGCTTTGTACTTGCCAGAAAAATTGCAGAATGGTTGAGGTTGGAAGGGACTGCTGGAGATTGTACGGCCCAAGCCCCTTGCTCGGGCTGGATTTAAACATTACGTGCATGTATTTAGACACAGGCATCTGTGTAAACAAGCTTGTGCTTTCTTCATGACAAAGCTATGACAGCTAGTGCAGTCACATACACCATAATTCTACTTTTCCTTTAACCTTTTTTTAAGACGAGGATGCTGAGGAACAAAAGCAGGTTGTGAGTCTGAACACTAACTTTCTTCCCTAGGCACTGCAGGCTGAAGAAACTTCGAGTGTTTCCCAGCTGAATGAAATAATGATGGCTTCCCAGACAACGCTGCTGAGTGAGCTGCCTAAAGAAACGCCTTCAGATGCAAATATCATCAAAGGGACCTTCCTGATTAACTTAGAAGGTAAGAGAACTCTTCCAGCCAGGCTACATAACGCTGTGGTTCCCTTCATGTCTGGGGTGGAGTGCGCTGACTCCACCTACCTGAGTTCAGTTGAGGTGCTTGCTTTGACAGGTGGCGATATCCGTGAGGAATCTTCCTACAAAGTTATAGCCCTACCGGTTGCCAAAGCAAAATGCCCTCGCTGCAGGAGATACACGGCCCAGTCCTCGAGCACTCCCTGCCCACGGTGCCTGAAAGTCATCGCTGGACACGGGAGCACGTGAAGGTGAAAGGCCCGTGCACAAGCTGCTCCCAAGCGTGGAGAAGCATACCCAAGTGGTGGCTAACCCAAAGGCCTGTAGAACCAGATGCTTAAGCCCCAGCCTGAGCAGAATTATCATGGGGCTTTTTTTTTGGGGGGGGGGAGTGGGAAAACTTATGTACATACACCTGTGTATATCACTTTTCAGCTTAATAAAAAGGGTGGTTGAAAATAACCCATTTGCTTGTTTTTAGCAGCCTGTGTTCTTTTGAAGTTTGCTTCCATTTAAGTGAAACTCCATGGTAAAAGAGCTATTACTTAATTTTTCTCCTGTCAGCAGGTAGTTCTGCAGAACCCCAGAGAACCCACCCTTCGCTACATGGGAGTGTCTACTCCTCTTGTAAAACACAACAGAAGAACAAAAGGTGGTGACTGCCATTCCCTAAAAAGAATGAGAAGACATGATGAAACCTCAAATTTTATTCAATCAATTTACACAAATCCACAGCAAATTAGACAACAAAATAGCACTATGTACAGAGTATTACTTACAATACATTACAGACTTGATTGGTGTAGTGTGTCAGCTCTGGTGCAATGCTCAGTTACAGTAAAACCCTTTACACAGCTGTACCAGGATACAGGAATTTAACGCAACTAGGAAACATTTTTGGTTTTCCTCAGGCTCCACAATGACCAAATCTCTACCACACTCATTTCTGCTGAAGTTTGAAGTGCTGTCAGGCAGGGTGGGAAAGTCACCTGTACAGTTCTGCCCTCTTCCTTTTCTCCTCTACAGCTGTTTGAACCTCAATCATGGAAATCAGTACGGAAGTATCTAAAACATGGATCGGGGCTGGGCACGTGTTTGTACTAGAATTCTTACTATTTATGTCTCTGATCTCATGTCACTGTAGGAATTCAAACATTTAATATCAAAACTGTTCAATAAGCCTTCATTAGCTACGGTGAAGTGCAGTGATCAGGAACGGGCGATGCTGAACAGGTGAGGTGAAGGAGGCTGCGCAGAACAAGCCACCCACGTAACCTTTTTTAAGGGGAGTCTCACCCTTCGATGACAACAGCACATACTTCAGAAAGATAAAACCAAATTCTGTCTCCAGCAAGGCAGAATAATACGAACGTTTCTTACATGTAATGCAAGAGGAGCAAGGTTACAAGATGGAGCGAGTAATTTCGGCTGACTTCAAGACAAAAACAGTTTACACCAATTTCATTTTTCTCTCCTGGCTTCCTTTTAGGTAGAAAGTAAACGGTACTAACCAATGCAAGATAAGCATGTTTAATACCACTCCAATAGTGAAGATACTCACTATTTGATTCCCTGTAGGTACCGTAAATAAAAGTGTATTTTTTAAGGCTAAAGTACTCAGTACTATAGATCTTCAGTGAAGTCGGGTCAACTATTTAAGCAGTTTTCGACTACAAGTTAACATGTGCAGAGATTTATAGCGTACTACATCTTCTACAGTGATGAGGGAACAATCTTACAGTAAAGACATTCCTTGACCTACTTAAACTCAGCGGAGCTTAATAATAAAGAGGGATATAAATCCACTTTTAGCTGAAGCCCAGCACCCTAGAGACAAAACTGGGAGATTCAGACTGGAAGATGAGTCCGTATTTGTGGCTGGAGAATTGGATTCTCCCTCTCAAGCTGTTTCTAACACGGCCTGATCTCCCTTTGCATGGGGCCCCCAGCACTTTTCATCCCATGGCTCGTGCCATCGTCAGTGTCACGTACAACGCAGTTACAAGGCACGAGCCCAACACCAGCTCTAGTTTCTGAAAAAGCAGTATTTGCTTTACAGGGTAACTTCAGAGACTGAAGTTTTTCTCTATGTAATTCCACGGCTCATTTGGAAAAAACAAATCATACATGGAGCACTGAAACCATTGCAGTTACTGCCAGCATGAAATACAGAATTTCACAAGATGTGATTTTTGTACATCAACTAAAGCTGGCATCAGATATATCCAATTGAGGCTACCGCAAAAAGCGCTCAGGTCAGAAATAAATAAAGCATTTCAGAGACTGACACGCGTACTAGAAACTAAACATATCTTTGTACTGGTGCAGAATTTAAAATATACTCCAATTTAAAAATCACCTTCTGAAATTCCGGGATGGGGAGCACTGTTCTTTTCCTTGGTTCACAAGAGCCACACAGAAGTTTCTCTCTGTAAAGTTCAGCCTCGTTGTGTAAGATCATGCATTATACCACAATACAGAGCGGGACCGTGCTCACCGAGGGTGTCACGACGCGATGGCTTCCACGGCCTCGATCAGGTTCAAGGCGAGGCTGTACTGCCCGTGATTCTCTGGTAAGTGCTCTATGACTTTGTTGACTAGCTTAGCGGTTGTTGCAATTGGCACTTCTGCAGTTTGAAGTTCCTGGGGGTCCTACATAAAAGAATAAACAGCATTAGAGTAATTTTACAGGTGCTCGTCCACATATAAGGTCTCCCAAACTTCTATAAAACAGATTACTAATGTTTATTAACTCAAAAGCTGATGCTCTGACCCATGAAAACTGCTTTACCCTTCATGAAACAGAGCTACTACCAAGAAAAATGGTAACAAATTCTTACTTGCACTAGTAAGAAAGGGCTGTTCAGGTGTAAGCTCTGTCTTGGTGAACAGAAGCTTCTGAAAAATCAACCCAATTTCCCAAATTGAGCTTAATTTACCATAGCTTTGAGCCAAGTACACAGTGTTGTGGGAAGACGAGCGAGGAGGTCCATGCCCTCCTTTGTCTGCGTATGAAGTAAAGCGAAAGCCAGTCTCTGCCCAGCCAATACGAGCAGCTGTGACGCAAGCACTTCTGTGTCAGTCACCTGAAGAAAGGCCTGAAAATAGAAAAAAAACCTAAGGAACTAGAAACCGTTTCAGAATGACACACGTCACTTATCTGGAGGCTTGAAAAGCTGCAAATAGAAAAAAAACCTAAGGAACTAGAAACCATTTCAGAATGACACAGGTCACTTATCTGGAGGCTTGAAAAGCTGTATCAAAAGAAGCTTCTTGATGCTAAATGGAGAAAAAGTTTTGAGATTGTTTCTTGTGTTACCTGTTACTGTAATAAAGCACATTATTAGAAGCTTCAGAACAGCAGAAGAGTAAAAAAAGGCAGAGAATTACTCTGTACTTTCCTCAGTGATTAGCATGAGCACCACATCTGTTGTACAGTTGAGCAATATATTCCTGACTTCCATGTAATACCTTGTGTGCTCTTCCCTTGAAGAAAGGGGAGGATTTTCTTGTCAAGGATCTCTTCCTAAAAGAAGAGATTACAGGCCAAACAGATTCCCGAAACTATCAAAGTAGAATATAGTAGCATATAATATTCTACTATAGAATATAGTAGATATTCTATATAGTGTATATATAGAGAATATAGCAGATATTATTCAATATTCTGCTATAGCATATAGTAGAATAAAAAAAGGCTGTGCTGGTTTAGACCACTAGCAAAACCTCCTGTCATGTCTCCACTAATTGCCATACACTGGTTCTTGTTGGGAAGAATCACAGAACTGTTGAGGCTGGAAAAGACCTCTGAGATCATCAAGTCCAGCTTGTGACCCAACACCACCACATCAGCCAGACCACGGCACTAAGTACCACATCCAGCCTCTCCTTAAACACCTCCAGGGACGGTGACTCCACCACTTCCCTGGGCAGTGCATCCCAGTGCCTGAGCACCCTCTCAATGAGGAAGGGCTTCCTGAGATCCAACCTGAACCTCTCCTGATGCAGTTTCAGGCCGTGTCCTCTTGTCCTGTCACTGGTTGCCCAGGAGAAGAGCCCGACCCTTCAGGCAGTTGTAGAGAGTGAAAAGGTCCCCCCTGAGTCTCCCCTTCTCCAGGCTAAACACCCCCAGCTCCCTCAGCCTCTCCTCACAGGACTTTCCCTCCAGTCCCTTCCCCAGCCTCGTTGCTCTCCTCTGGACCCGCTCCAGCCCCTCAAGGTCTTTCTTGCAGTGAGGGGCCCAGCCCTGCACACAGGGCTTGAGGTGAGGCCTCCCCAGGGCTGAGCACAGGGACAGAATCACAGCCCTGCTCCTGCTGGCCACACTGTTCCTGACACAAGCCAGGATGCCATTGGCCTTCTGGGTCACCTGGGCACTGCTGGCTCATGTTCCAGGAAGAAACATGCGAGGTTACTTTATTGACCTTGAAAAAGTACTTTTTCAGCCTGAGGATTTTTTCATTCTCATAATACTTGCCTAACCCTTCCAGGCATCTTAAGTAAGTGAAAAAATAATTCTAGCAGAATATTGGACATAATGCTCTATCAACTTAAAATCGTCAAAAAGCTGTTATTACCTCTTCTCCAAGATGATCCATCCCATAACTATACAGTTCACAGACGTAGTGCCTCCTGACCACATCCTCGGAGATTTGAAGATACTGAGCCAGGTCCACGGCCAAGGTTGGCCAATTTTTCCCCTTTTCAAAAGGAAATAATTCCTCTTCTGAGACATCTTTGTCCTTTTGTGATGAACACAGTGTTTGAACTGCTGCACTCACAACTTTGATCAGGAACTTGGAAGCAAAAATTGCAGGTTACTTCAGTATTATTCAAAATTTTAGAATTTTAAAAAGTTTCAGTACGAAGCTTAGGCCTACCTGTTGTCGTATGGATAACACATTTGGTTCCATATCCCCACTAGGTAGCAGCTGAATTGAAGTAAGGTCTTTGAAAAATGCGTTTTTGCCCTAAAACAGAGAACCGAAAGGCCCATCTCAGAGATACAGAGGAATACAAGTAATCTGTTTTGATCCAGCACTAAGAAGTCTACTTTTTTTTTTCAATATCTATTTCTCTTTGAGGACAAAAATTAATATTGTAGGTAAAGCCACAGAAAAAAAAGACACTTTTGCTCATGCAATCATAATATGCCAAGGATTTGCTTTTGAGCTTAAAACTACCTGCCTACTAAATTAGGTAGCTGATACACCACTAGCTGGAGCTGAAGTTTAGATATTTTTTCTGGTCCTTGGCTCTAGACCAACATAGCAGGCAGAATTTGTGGGAAGAAACGCAAACTAGCTGATACAAAAATACATTTTCTCTATTATCTGTTGAGAGAATTGACACTGCTTAAGGTCCCTTGAACTACAGATTAATCAGTTTTCAGGTAAACCCCTGACTTACAGCACAAGACAGTCCTCGTTTGAGCCCACCGTGCTCCAGCAGTGAGACACTCAATGCCAACCATCTCTGGTGGTCCTGCTCTGTACTAGCACGGGGAGCAGGGAAACTAGTGCCAAAAAAACCCACTTTTAACCACGATTTCAGTCATCAGCCAAGATTCTCTAAAGGCTCGTTAGAAATTCTCATAAAGCTCACAAAACAAATAGAAATCTTGAGTAAGCAAAGGCAAACAGGTAGCAGCTAAGAGCAGTAGTTGTACGTGAAAGAAACAAGGGACAGGAAAAGGATCTAATCTTACTCTACGCATTCTTAAGCGACAAAAGGTAGTATAAGGCTTTCTGATAACATAAGCAAAAAAAAAAAGGCATAAAAACAATTTGAGCTACAGTAAAATGCTAAACAGGCTCAACAGATTCATCAGAGCATGCACACAGACAAAAACCTATGGCAAAAGGAGAGGAAAAGTTGCGTTTATAAAATTTCAGTAAATCATTAAGAAAAAATCTGTGCAGTATTACAGGACTAAATAATTTTCTATCCAGCAGGAAAGAAATGCCAGTCTACACCACTACTTTCTGTTTAAATCTTTTTTCAAAAGGCAGTGTGGTAAAGCTAGGAGGAGGAATGCTCACTTTGTGATACCTGCTTTGTATCAGGGTCAAGCTCTGACTGGAGATATGCTGCATTTTAAATGCAGTGACCCTTTTTTTTTTTAAAGGGGTTTACATGCATTAAATGACAAGTTATTTATTCTATTTGAGATACTCAGAATTCTGGAATTATCATCAGCAATAACAGGTACAACAGCAACACTAACATAACATTCCTGACCTTGAATATTTAGGTTTTTTCTGATCTGGCACTTCTCAAAGCAAATAGAAAAAAATTGTCATCCAGTGTTCTTACCATGCAGTATTTTCAGGCCAGCTAATCATTAAGGAGCCAATCTTCATGCGTCTGAGGTCACTACAAATCTTTTATGAATAATGAAAAGCACCAAGTTTGGGTCTCAGCCTGAATTCTGGTGACGACTGCATTGACTAAACACCTTTCATAAAATTATGCATGAACGGTTTAAAGAGGGAAAAGCTATTGTATGCTGTAGATATCAAGAGGAAGGATAGTGATACACAGCTGCAGGCTTTCAAGACACACCTTGCTATCAAACAGTGAAAGAGGCTTCACACTCTTCAAAGAAAACCTCATGATGGCATACAGGATAGTGCACAGCACAAACTGGTGTTCGACGAGTGGGTAGTGAATGCGTTTCTGCTCGAGGGCGAGTTCTACGATCGATACGGGTCCTTCTACTGACACCCAAGCATCTTCAGTGTCCAAGGCAGGAGCCTGCATTTCGTCACTGCTAACGTCAGCCTGCCAGAGCAACACAAAGGAGCAGTCACGCACAAAACGTCACCTACATCAGCTTTCTACCCAAAAGACACGGCTTTAATCGCAAGTTCTCTGCGGTGAAACCGTAGAGGAAATCTCATTGTCGAGGGCCTCATTGATATTTGTCTGAACTGAAAGACATGGCAGTTTGTATGACCACAGTCTTTAGAACTAAGTTTGAATCAATTAGTTCCTTATTTTCTATGGGGAAAAAGAAAAATGCGTTACCTCTAGCAATGTTTGCAGAAGATCTGAACAGCAGCCAAGAAAAGCCGTCGTTGCGGTGTCACCCATACCTACATCCTGGTAACAAGCAGTACGAATTAAAAGTGTTTCAGTTGGAATTGAAATAGGCTTTTATCAGCTCTGTATGTTTGAGAAGACAGCTGTTGACATAAACCACCTTGTTAAGCTCACTTTATTAACCTATTACATTTAAAGTAAACGAATATTCACTGAAGTAAAACAAAGAATTAGAAATAATGGGAAAAAACAGGAATAAAGCTAAGTGTAGCCATTTCCAATACTGTATCTCTCAAGAAGACTGAATTCCTCAAGTAATCACATCTCATCAATTTCATTTTCTGTGCACATCAATTATCTTGAAAAAAAGATTTTTAACTAATGAAATTGTGCATGAAAACTAATTTGTCATACTACAGCCTCAAGTCTACCTTCTACAGTATTCAAAAGTTACACTACTATTCTAATTTGCATTCCCAAATAAAGATTAACTTACATTTCTTCAAATTCCTAACATTTTCTCTAGGGCTGCATTTTCAATTTTCCTGAAACTTTCTAAAAATATATTGCAAACTAGTATTGAAATTAAGGTATTTTTAGTTATTTCTACCCATTTAGACAAAAGTAATATTACTTGCCCGTCTGCATAATCTGTCCTTTGGAGCTTTTCCAACCTGTTTTTTAAAAAAAAGAAATTAAAAAAAATCAGTACAATTTTCATCATAACGTATCTGCTGCCTCATGTTTTAACTTTCTATTACTATTCTCCTAATATAAAATAAGACAACACTTCACTACAGCTACATAATGCAACACATTGCCTTCCTACAACAAATTTGATACAGGTCACACTCAGAAATGAACACCACTGACACCTGGATTTTAGTTCGACCTTCTCAGAGTCTAGGATTAGAAATAAGGCCCCGAGGTCCTCATTCAAATCTCAAAAGCAGATAAAAATTTCCCAGCAATTTCTACAACACGGAACTAGAGCTGTAATCCCAAGCGTGATATTAGAGAGAAACACCAGAGAACACAGAAAGAGGAAACCGAGTGAATGCTCCAGCACATTCACTAAGATGGAGAAGGTCTAACAAGAAGTTATTAACAGTTTCCACACATTGCCTGAGGTCTTTAGAGAAGACACCTCAATCTCAGCCTGTTTAGGAATGTTACTTTGAGGTCCAATTACTACAAGGTGAACCACGTGCTGCACATGATGAAGCACATACAGATAAGAGAAAGTTCTCTACCACAGCACAAAAAAATAAAAGTAATGGTCATGACATCAGGTCAGAATCTAAACAACAGCTGAAATCAGATTCCAGCATCCTGAACAACAGGACTATTTAAACTCTAATTCAAGCGATCCATCACGCTGTTTCAACATCTGAATTCGAGGCAACTTTCAGCTGTCAATTTTGGGATTGATGAAGTGCCAAACTATTCTTCTGGGAGTAGGCAAAAGAAGAATCGTGTTACAAAGCCTAAGGACTAGGGCCACAGAGATGATCCAGGGGCTGGAGCACCTCTGCTATGAGGACAGGCTGCGGGAGCTGGGACTGTTCAGTCTGGAAAAGAGAAGACTTCAGGGGGACCTAATAGCTGCCTTCCAATACCTGAAGGGAACCTACAGGAAGGCTGAGGAGGGACTTTGTACAAGAGTGTCCACTGAAAGGACAAAGGGAAATAGGTCTAAGTTGAAGGAGAATAGATTTAGATTAGATCTTAGGAAGAAATTCTTCAGTATGAGGGCGGCAAGACTTTGGAATAAATTGCCCAGAGATGCTGTGGCTGCCCCCTCCCTGGAGGTGTTCAAGGCCAAGTTGGACAGAGCCTTGAGTAGCCTGATCTAGTTGAGAGGCGTCCCTGCCCATGGCAGGGAGGTTGGACTAGATGATCTCTAAGGTCCCTCCCAGCCTGGGCCATTCTAAGATGACTAATTCCCACCTTGCAAACATACATAAATAACAGTTGTTACTACAGGATATTTGTTTGATGTAATGTGTGCGCAAAAAAAAGTTAGTTAATAAAAGCCTTTATCTCTTCTCCTGTGGGTTTTAGTCTAAGCAGAAGCAATGGCAGTGGATTAGCTCAAAGGCATGAAGGAAAACTGGAAGAGAGTTTTTGCAGTAGAAACACCTACTACAACTGTTCACAACTGAGCCAATTTGCTGAAAGGAATGAGGAAGATGACACTCGCCAGTTCTTAAAGAGCTAAACAAAAAGCAAAAGCAGAAGATGAGAAGAGCAAAGGAGAAGGAAAAAAGATGACAAGGCGGCAAATTCTTGTGGGTTTTGCGATGATGTTTTGCTGTTTAGGGGATGGAGTTTTAGGGGCTTTGGCTTGGTTTTGGTTTTTTAAATCCCCATCAACATTTCTCTCTTTATGACATCTGGACTTCTGTGCTGAAAAACACTGAGCTGTTGCTCTACATCAGCAGATTCCCCCTACTCCATTTAAACAGATCTATCACTTACTGGCAGCACTCTTCCTAAACCACCTTCCAGTAAGGAGACTCACTGCATGTTTACAAGCATGAATAAAATGAAATTTAGCAGGGACAAGAGACTACCAAAAGCCACAGCAAACAAGTTGCATACTAGGACAGAATCAGATTTGCAACAGAAGCAACATCTAGAAGTGCTCAACACCATCCCTAAGACGTTCTGCCTTTCGCAGAGACAAAAATCTGGACCACAGCATTAGGAAAAGCTCCTGCTTGTGGGAACCTGAAGGTTTCATGGCAAAAGCTTACCAGGAAATAGGCACAGACAGAACACTTAAGGTATTTATTGTTTTTTAACTTAAAATTTTATATATGCACACATATAGTTTCAAACTGTTTCACAAATATTTTTTGTTGAGCAATTACAAGCTAACACTGCACATACCTCTCCAGTACACATCACCCAGTGCTGATTAGCTATTAAAGCTGCCTCTAGTTGATCATTCCACAGATTTAGTATTTTAAAACATGCATTCCTTCATCAATTCCAAAAGTTAGTTACATAATAAACCAAATAAGGAGGGTTTTTTTGATGCTTATATCAAAGATAATCTAAAATGTACTTTAAAATAAAACCCACAACTGTTTAAAAACACTAGTTTCACTTGTCAATTAATAAATATTCAGTCTTAAAAAACACTGTCACAATCGTGCACTCACCTTGTCCATTAGGTATGTAGCAGAGGAAAGCCTTTTTACTATGAACGTGTTCCACATCATCAGAGCGATCCCTAGAACAAATTGCAAACTTGTCAACTCCGAGTGAATAGAAAAGAGACAAGTATGGAGCAAAAAGCCAAAGTTCCTCCAACGGGCTGGAATTAAAGATGGTGAATGAAATGAACTATGGAGTTCCCCTCGCTGCTTTACACTTGGGACTTTAGATTTCGTATTTCTCAGAAGACGACTACCGTGGGGACCAAATACAGTTAGAAGTGCGATGAACCATTCTTTAAAATTATTGTGTTACATGGACTTGGCTAAATATTGCAGGCAAACTTTGGTGGTAAGCAGGAAGATTTAAAACTAGTGCTTCAGCCATAAAATGCACCTTATTTGCATACATAAATAGTCCACAAAAATGACAATTGCCATCACATTCATTAAAAGAGTATCAAGGAATATATGAAGTGCATGAAAAGTAAGTTTTAAAAGTCATTTCAAAGCAATTGTATTTTAAAATTCTTTCAGTCAAACACATGAACTTTATCTAACCAACCTATTTTTATGGTTCTGATGGCAACTCAGCTTCAACATGAAAAAAAAAAAGCTTGAAAGCCAGCAGAAAGTTTTGAAGTGTTTTGAGTTGTTTGTGGGGTTTTTGACAAAATGGCCATCACTACTACAATCTGCATACGCTTAGCTGACATGGTTATTTATTCTGCTGTTTTACAATTTCAATAAAAATCGCTTTTAATAATAGTTGCATACTTACCGTGCTGAATGTGAGCATTCATGATGCATCTTAGATGCTCTATAGATCTAATGAGAAAACATGCTTCCTTATGTCAAACAAGAAAAGGAAAAGAACAAGTTACTACATTATTCAAAACTTGTTTTAAATGTAAACTATTGATTCTTAAAGAGCTCATGTAGATTATTTTAAAGCTACTATTTTTCAAACAGTTACAAAACTAGTAAGCTATTCTGATCCTGCCATCTTCTCTGCCACTTCCTAACAGACCAAAAAACACGTGGCCAAGCAATCATGAAACACGCTCTGGTTTCAGCACTGTTCCCAGGGCTTTGTTTTAGCACAGGTACTGCTGAGATACTCTTTGCTGAAAGGCATCTCCACTGACTACGGTGATTTGTGCTGGAAAGATTTTAATTTTTCATGGAATCAGAGAATGCGTTGGGCTGGAAGGGACCTTTAAGGGTCATCTCGTCTAAGCCTCTGCAGTGAGCAGGGACATCTTTAACCAGATCAGGCTGCTCAGAGCCCCATCCAGCCTGACCTGATTTTTATTTCATTTCAGTGTGATGATGCAATAAGTTTTTAACCACCTGAAAGGAACTTTTTATTCCATACCAAGATGTTACGTTGATCAAAGGAGTGCCAATTTCAATTTTAGTATCACCTGAACTTAGAACAACCTTTTCCAACATTAGAGAAGCTATACAACAGCAGTGGTATAAAACAGTATGGTTTTGAGATGGGGCTTTTTGGTTTTTTCCTTTGGTTTGCCTTCCTTCTCCTATGACAACTGCAAGCAGTGGCCAGGGCATGTATGAATATTCAAGAAATCCCTCTCTCCTCTTTAAATTGAATGAATCCCAGTCTAACAAATTCAGTATTCTGTGATCTGTTTTAGCATGTCTAGAACAGAGGAACAGTTCAGCACTATTTTGCAGCAAACTCTTTTGTACTTGCAGAAAATACAGTCAAATCCCTTCTTCGTGCCACTTATTTGAATCCAGTTTCCACACACCCAGTTTTGAGAATCTGACAGCTTAGAAACACACAGCCCTGTCTTTGTGAGGTGCCACTCAGCCTCAGGACGCACGTTGATTTTTCTCAATTCAGTTTCTGCTTTGCCACTTATCAGAGAAAAATTGTTAACTAGTGTGCTTTCAAGGTCAGTCTTCTCAAAAGACAAGTTTTTATCAACTACTACAAACTTGTGAAGCAGCTTCTGTTAAATCAGCTTTAACCATTACTCCCCACGAAAGAAATTCTTTTACCTCTGGGTCCTTATTCCACTGCACCACATATTCCCAACAGCAATGTGCGTGAAGGACATCCACTTCGAGACTACATGGAAATTGCTGATAGGCCAGTTGCAGGAGCTCTAGAAAAACAAAATCTGAAGTTACAAGATAAATCTCTTCTCGCTTTAATTTCTGTTACTTCACACCAGCAGCAACTAAAACATCTCTGCTGATACTTAGAATTTGGAACAAACACATCATTTGCTTACCTAGGATTTTTTCCAAGTCTGCATCTACTTCTGGTTCCTCAAGAAAGATATTAGTATGCATTTCTACAGATTCCTCGGTATTATCTGTGTTGGGTTTGTATTGGGCCAAATTCAGTACAAGAGGATTGAAGCCTTGCTTAAAAACCCACTTTGCTACAATGTCCGCAATACCTCCTAGGGCATTAAAGAAAAAAAATAAGTAAAAATAATTATGAGGTTTAGCCACTGTATCCCAGAAGATCTACAGTTCAGAATTGAAAGACAAGAGAAATGAGTTTTAACTATTCCCATTAATTACATAAGGATAACTACCAATCAGAAAACTTCCTAATCAGCTGATTAGAGGTTTACAACGTACTCTTTAAAATTATATCCTTTTACAATTTTGAAACAATATTCTACATGGTTTGCATTGGCTTTTAAATGGAGTGAAGTAACTAGTAGAACAATTTCCAGCCCAGCAGATGTCATTAAGTAGGTAAAGAAGGCTCAGAAGTCTATTAGAAAGACAACCAATCACCCTTCCAAGGGGAAAATTGTACCTTTTCCTGCTTCAAGCAGTTTCTTTACAGAAAGCCTGCCCAAAGGCTCCGTCTGGAGAGATGAAACTCTTTTTGTCCTTTTGCTCACTTTGCTATGCAGCAGCGTTTGAAGTATCAGACAATCCTCTAACTGCTTCAACAGAAGTTTCCAATATTCGGTGTCAAGGGAAAGTGCTTCCCAGGATTCTGTGTCCGAACCTACCATTAGTTGGGAAAACTAACAGAACATAACAACCCTTTTAAGTCTGTTCACTTAAAACAGCACTTTTGTTTATTAAAAAAAAACACCACAGTGTTAAAGTTGAAAACTGTATCACAAGAGCTACTGTGTTCTGAAGAATAATTTAATCCCAAATACATACATTAACTACTATGCCAAGATCAATTAATATCCCACCATGAGATGCACAGGTTCTTGCATAAAAGCCTAAGGAAGTAGATAAAGGACCTGAAAGGTCATCTTGTAGTGCCATTTATAAGTTCGTATTTATTGAAAAGTGGGTTGGAATCCCTTCAAAAAGACTTAATTTTACACCCTCCGCTACATACACATTCCCTACATATATAATTAATGCGGCTACATCTGAATTTCCTACCATAATAAAAAATATATTATGTCCCCACAAATACCGAATGACACCACAGTGCAGTTCTGTGCATTATTTTCATAATTCTCATGTTTAACAGCAAATGCTCTGCCAGGAAGCCCAAGAATCTTTTCAGTAGGGTGTAGAACTGCCTTTTAGCTTTCTGCACCAAGAGAGCTAACTCTTAAGTTCTCAGAAGCCTGGCCACAAACTCTTCTAGGCTCTCAGCCAAAGAATCATAGGGAAAAAAAAAAAAAACAAACAAGGGGGAAGAGATAAATGGCTTTATAGAAGGGCTATTTTGAGAAGAATAAAGCTTTATTCTTTAAGAGGAGAAGACAAGAAAAGGTGAGAAAAGAGAGATCATGGGGTAAAGCATAATATGTTGCAACAAATCAACATTCCTATTTGGCCAATGTTGACAGTTTTAATACACAAAATTGCAACAGTTGTGCAAAAATTTTGCAATGTGCAAAAATACTAAACCACTTCCTGATAATCTAGTTATAATTTATAAGGCAGTCTATTTACAGGACTGAGCATCACCTAAACCCTCTTTAATCTGTTCAGACAAGTAGTAAGCACACATACATCAAGTGCTGTTTAGGAGCAGTGTGACTTCTTCCATCCTGAATGACAACACTGTGTGCAGTTCCACAGTCTCAGCAACAGTTTTGTGAAAAGATACTTACTGCCAATATTATCAAACACCCATAAGAAGGCTTAATAATGTAAGTGATAAGAAAAACTGGTGGTAGTTTTTAAAAAAGAAGTCACGACTATGGTAAAACAGGTTTACTATCCACATTTAGTTGACTTCGCAAATTTGTATGAAAAGCAAAGGCTTTAAGTTTGTCAACATCATCCGCTACCCAAAGAAAAATTCACTGTACAGTTCCCATCGCTTACTTGAATGTCTAGTGAACGATTCTGATGTATCATTCATTCACCTTAGCACAATATTCTTCGAATTCAAATATAAATTTTCAAGTGCGTAGGATGGAATGCCTGTTAGACTGATGGCAAATGAATGCTCAGGATGTTACTCTATTACCAAGACAGCAACTTGTATGGAACTGATAGAGCAAATAAAATAGAAGGGTGAGGTCCAAGGTGACTTACTTTTTTCTCTGTCACACTGTCAATTATCTGTGCAGTTACGGAATGCCCAACGTGAGCAGATAACAAGGCAGCCGCATTATTTTCAGCCTGAAGGCAAGCTGTCCGCATTTGCTGCCACCAGGGGGAAACCGACTGGGTGTCCCACGACTCGTCTATTGCAACTGCAGAGAAAGGGAGAGGGGGGAACTTAGTGGGGGGTCACTACCTGTTAAAATTAGTACAGCAGCAACCAACCCCAAAAGCAGCACTTCATTTAATATAGCTTATACGAGGATAACTTCCAATTAATCTACATTACCTTCTTCTAAGTATGCAGCATACAAGTTCTAGACTATAACTCAAATTTAAAATAAGGAGCTGAATATGAATTACTCATTCTCAAGTTTCATGCATGCAGCAGGCGTTTAGTTGTGACACTCTTCAAATTCTAGCTGTACTTCTAGTTAGTCCACCACCATGCAGCATGTAGCATTGTTATATAATTTATCAGGGAAGAAAAACCCTAAGTGATAATCCAGGCTAGTCAGACTAGCAAACTTCTAATAATAATTAACATCAGTTGTGCTGAAGTGTTCCAAATACACATTTTACCTTTCATTGTGCTCAGAAGTGACAGCATAGTGTGAAGGCAACTGACTGAATCTGGTTTGTCTAAGATATCTTTTTCCTTGGAAAGCCATAAATTCAGAAGAAGTGACTGTAAAAAAAAAAAAAAAAAGAATCAAAGTAATTGAATGAAACTCCACTATTGCATATACCTAACACAAACACTTTCTTCAATAAATTTTCTGTCATGGAGCAGAAATGTTATATCCATGAAGCTTTATTATATTAACATAGGAAGTTAAAAATATATTGCGTAAGATACCTTTTGACAAACTTTGAAATGAAACAATACAATGTGTATCTTTCGTTTAGAAAGATGCCTTAGAAAACATCCTTTCTGGAAGGTACAGCCAGCTAATAATACCAGTACATTAGCAATCTCAACTTGGTATTAGCAGTTATAAATCTTAGAGCTGAAAATCCTAACATGGGCAAGTAATACTGAAACATGTATTTCCATCATTACACAATGGATGGAAGAAAAGCAGCAAAATGCTAAAATTACAGGTGGATTAAAGAAGATTGTCTCAACACTACTAGCAACTCTGAAAATTTTCCTTTTAGTTCTTTCTAAACTTCCTTGTTTGCTTCCAGAAAGAACTTAAAACAAATTTGTCAGTACCTGACACTAACTACTCTCAAAATTTTTGCTTCTTGGTAGAAGAAATCTTCTGTGAACTTTTACACTTATGCTAAATGCATACTCTAGACATTTCACTAGAATACCCACATTTTTGACTACAAGATTTTTTTTTTCTTTCACAACTCTTCAAGTGAGAAATATCAGCACCTAAAAAATTGAATGCAGGAGTATTTGAACACAGCCTTAATATAGCATTAATTCAAAGGCCAACAGCCATCTTTTTTCCTTTCCATGTTTTGTTTTCAAAACACTAAATCAATGTTTTAAAGCATGTAATAAATATCTTACCAACAAGATTTGAGGGCTAAAACCTGCTGATTCCAATGCACGACACATTTCCTCTGTGGAACTCTCCCCACACAAACACTTCCAGAAGAAAAATCTGCCTGAAGCAAAAATTAATTGATATTATGAACAACATCGAAAGACACAGCCTCTCCAATTAGACTAATATGAAATATCATCTGTTGATTAAGTCCCACTGAGTGCAATATGAAGGACCAAGTTACATGTAGGATACCCTAGGATGGTTTACACTTAGTGAAGAAGGTTCATTAAAGAGGATTTAAGTGTTCCTACCGCTACAGGAGTCATATTGAAAATGGATTTATTTATAACAAAACAAAGATTATTGTACTGCTTGGATGTCCTAGTTCCAGCTGGGATGGAGTTCATTTTCTTCCTAGTAGCTGGTTTTGGATTTAGTATGAGAACAGTATTGATAACACTGATGTTTTAGTGTAAACACTGCTTAGCAACAACTAAGTTAAGGACTTGTCAGCTTCTCACCACACCAGCGAGTAGGCTGCGGGAGGACAAGAAGCTGTGAGGAGACTCCGCCAGGATGGCTGCCCCAAACTGGCCAAAGGGATATTCCAAACTCTAAGACGTCATGCTCAGTAGATAAACTAGGGGGAAAGCTGGCTGGGGGCTGCTGCTCAGGACTGGTTGGGCATCTGTCAGTGGGTGGTGCACAACTGCACTGTGCATCACTTGTTTTGTATATTCAAATTCTTTTATTGCCATTATAATTATTATTACTATGATTATTATTATTTTCCCTTCCTTTTCTGTCCTATTAAACTGTCTTTCTCTTAACCCACAGATTTCCATTCTGCCCCTGATTCCGCCCCCCTCCATCCGACTGGGGCAGAGGAAGTGAGTGGCCGTGTGGTGTTCAGCTATCGGCCAGGTTAAACCACAATACTGGATTACACATTTTGTTCCACTCAAAGAATGGCTTGAAGTGTCACACAAGTTTATCCGCGGAGTAACCCATAACTGTGTGGCACCAAGTTGTATCTTACAAAGCAAACTAGTAGTACTTCAACCAATATAAAAAACCCCATCAAACAAACAATTACATAATTCACATCTTATCAGCACTACAAAAACGGGGAGTGTCCCTGTGAGGCAGAGGAAAATTGGGAAAAATGGATCTTCAAGACTAAACTGCATGGCATGATATTCATGTTGCAATTACATTTGTTTACAGCTTAACATCTTAACAAGTTACCAGTGATCCCTGTCCAAGGATATGGGGAGAATACTTCTACTCCAGTTCTCAAACCCAAATACAGTGTTACGGTAGAATAAATGCAAATTCTAAGATTACTCAGAAATTCTGGTCTCCACACAGATGAAAGCAAAACTCTTCTCCTTAACTTTTCAATCCCAATTCCTCTCAAAGTTTGACAATTACACCACACAACATCTGTGCACAGAATTCTAGAATTCTGTGTTTGCAGCAAAGCTACCCCAGTAAAGAAATCATCTGGAAAGACAGGTGCCTTTGAGACAGTTATTTCCCAATAGCTGCCCAAGGAGAGCCTAGAACAGATTTGCAAACTAAAACAGACTACAGACAGTAACCCCATCCCACACACCGACAGCCACCACAGCCACTCTCCCCATCCATGGTGTTTGAGATCAACCTTGCCCTAAATCCCCCTCACTTAATGGTCCTGTGCTGCCTCTGGCCAGTTCCCTCAACTCCAAGGCTAAAGTCAGTTCTGACATAAACTGAACTCTTGAGGTGCTGTGACCAGGAAAGAAACAGCTGCTCTGTAAAGTACCCAGTCAGCACCATCAAACTCAGTGGCGTTAATGAACAAATAAACAGTGATAACATGGCTTTAGGGTGATTAAATGCACAGATGTAGCTAACTTGTATTAATATCCCTCTAGGTAAGAAAGACTTGTCCTCTGGCTGAAGAGTCTGGAAGCAGCACTGTCACATGCTGCTTCAAGGCAAGCCAGCTTATTAAGGCCCCTACATTAAGGCTGAAATATTGATACGATCTTAGATTATATTCAGTCTGACAAACAGTTCAGTAGCTCTTACCTAAAGCCACATATTCTCCATCTTCCAAATTTTTCACATTAATCACATCCTTTTCATATTCCAAATATTCCAGGAACATTTTCACAGACAATATATCATCCTTCTCGTCAGTAAACTGAACAGTAGTTTCAGTGTTTTCTTTCTTGTAGTTCTCCAGTAAAGTTTCGAGTCTATGAAAATCTTTTTCTTCCAGACGAAGCAGTTTAGCCAAGTCCTTAGAAGCAAAAGCCAAAAAAATCCCACATCACTGCTAAAGAATATTAGGGAGATGAACTGCTAGGCATTTGTACAGATAAAAAAAGGCATTATAAAACAATCACTTCATTAAAAATTCCACGTACTTATTATTATCAATGCCTTGAAAATGTATTTTTATGCTTAAATCATTGCTCAATTCTATAAAACAACTTAATTTCAGATTTACTCACATTATTTGAGTGCGAAGTGTCTTTCTGAGTGCTTTGGGAATTTAGTTTGCTAACTAGTTCATAAAGATGTAACAGCTTTAACTTGTTTGCACAGAATTGCAGGAGTCCTTCATCCACACACTCAAGCTCTGAGGAGAAATAAAATTGCATTTGAACTTGAATACATGGAGCAGAATTGTGAACTGTACCTTCAGCTGCACTGAACTCCTCCTTTATTAGAACTGGAGAACTTATGTCTCAGTGTAATTTTTTGATGCCTCACTGCTTGTTATGATTATATTTAGTTCACAGCAGTATAAAACAAGAATTATTTTTACAAGTAGTAGTAGAGAAAGACAGCAGACTTGCATTTAAATGCAGAAAAAACCAGCAAAGACAAATTGATTTTCTTTTCCTGGTTTAAGACCAAACCAGAGATTTTGCAAAAAATTAAAATATGCTGAGTCTCAAGCATATTTTCTTTTATCAATAATACTAAACTATAACATTTTATTAATTCTGTCAGTACTTCAACCACATTCCTTTGCATCAGAACAGAGCCTGTTTACTACTAATACAAATTAAAATTCACCTGTCAAGACAATGCCTTTTGTATTTCTACAACCTTAGTCTCAGAAATTTCATGTAGTTATGATCATTCAAATTTCAGGAACAATTAAAGCAATCAGTATATAGGAAACAAACACCAACACAATGACAGTAAAAACCTCTATTCCAACTTAATTTAAAAGAAAGCATTTTTAGAGAGATCCTAAAAGGCCCCTTCTATACAAAAGGTATCTGAATATATCACCTTCACCTGAAACAGCTTCTAAATACAATTTTCTCCCTGTGAACCCTTCAACACTTTTGATACACTGCTATTAAAAATCCTACAAACAAAGAAGAGAACCACAGAGCTCGTCGCGCAGTCTCTTGGCCTTTTCGTCACAGCCACAGCATTCACAAAGCCCAGCATCTGCTGCACATTGTCTTTTACCTACTAAGCACAAGCGGAAGGATATGCCACTACTTCGCTGAAATTAGAAGGCTGGAACATTACCCAAGTTTCTTCTTTATTGTGACTGTGAGGAAATGATGTTATGTGTATGACAATAAGAGACAAATGATGAAAAAGACATGAACAGACCCCAGTAAGTATATGGTTCTGTCAGTTGTGAGTGTAAAAGGGCAAGCTTCTGTTTTCACTTTGTTTTTTTAGGAGTGCTAACAGAAATGGATAATGGTAGATTTAAAATGCCAGCCCTGGGGCAGGACAAGGGACACAGGCTAATGGACAAATAGTTTACTGGAGGCTTTCACACAAGTGGCAGGCATTTCTTGACTGCTGTTGCTAAAGCCTCATCTTCTAACAAGCTGAAATGAATTGAGTAATAATGAAAAAAAACCCAACAACCCAAAAACCAGACTTCTATTGCTGAGAAGTCCCAGCACATGTGAAGGAAGTGGCAAGTACATGCTCCCTATTCCTCAACAGCCAGCTGGTTCTCAAAAAGTGGGGTTACCTCAAGCACAAAGAAGGTTCTCCCAGTTTAAAAAGACCCTACTGTATCATTTCAAAGAAACAATCTCGCAGACCTTCAGCAATCAGATTTTGCACAGCTAATGACATTTCATGACGTATGAAATAACTTCAGCAAAGTTTACTGAGAAAAGCCACTAGGCATCTGACTAGAGCTCAAATCCTCAGTAACAAGGATACTGTGCTTCCAGCACAGTAAAATTTACAGACACAGAGTACCATAGTATCCTTACTGCCTTCCTTGGATAGAGAGAACAAACTGAAATATCTGCAGACGAAAGTCTGTAAAAGCTTCTTTTTGAAGGAAGCTTTTACTAGATCCAAGTACCCAGCACAGTTGTTGGTTTGTTCATTATTTTTTGTTTTATTTGGGGTTTGGGTTTTTGTTGGGGCTTGTTTTTTTTTTTTTTTATATATAATTGCAGGTTACTAGGCACACAGTAAGCAGAGCAAAGCATACTTAATAGCAAGAAATTTGCAGTCTACGTTCAAAAAAGAAAATATGCCGAAGCAACATCCCGCAATATTTAGCAGCAAAACTAAGCAGGCCAAGTCTGGTCTTCTAATGGAACGGAAAATAGTCCTACAACATTCTTACAGCACTGCAGACAAAACACAAATGCCTCTCCATATCTGCAAAATAAATATCCACCTACCCTGTTTTTTTAAATTATCCATTAATGTCTGAGTGATGTTGGTGAGAGATGAAAGTGGCACACGTTCACTTGTCAATATATTTTCCAGAGCCTGTTAAGCAGACATGCAACAGAATTATATATCTACTTAATTTTACTCTAAAAACATGTAAGGTAAGACGACAACAGCACAACTTTGTCAATGACTTTTCATCTGTATTGTGTCTTCACATGTACTTGCAGCATAATTCGATCCTACAGAAAAAGTCTCCTCTCTTTTCATTATTTTGACTTTTACCACCGAAGATGCCTTGGTGAAGTGAAAAGTCAAAACTGATTACAGTCAATATGTTGTAATAAAGAAACGCAAAACAACCACCAAAACGCCAAGAAATCACCACCAAAACAAAACAGCTCAATTGTTTCCTTCTCATAATTCTAGGAAGAAAGATTTAAAAAGATTCAGCACTCTAATCTGAGAACTACTATTTTTTTCCAAATATTAAAGTATACCAACTTGTAAATATTCACCTGCTTCTTTGTAGCAGGGTATTTGATATCAAGTATTAATTCCTTTGCTTCAGCTTCAATCAAATCTACAACAAAAAGACAATCACAACGTCAGTTCATATTTGTCAAATGCACATGGGTTCATGCTATAGAGACAAAGACACTATTACAGAAGCTGCCAAAATAAGCTTGAGGATAATGAAACAACATAACAGCTCAGGGGCATTTCTTATTCCAACTCTGTCTTTTGTAAGAAATATATAATACTTAGAGGAAGAAGAATATCTAAAGTCTAACGCTGAACACCATTACGTAGCATAATGGACTGCAAATAGAGTGTTTTACGCAAGCATTCAAAGTAGAGTTGAGTTCAGATCTACATGGCAGACAAGGCTTATATACTGGATCCTTGTATGGGATAAATTTAATCTGGTAAGGTTATAAAAAATAGCAAGCTACTTAGAGATCATAATTCATAGCACACAGAGCTGTTAGAATGCACCGCAATCGTACCTGTGCTTCTACTCTTACATGACAGGTAAGACAAGAACCAACTCTTAGTGTACAATTTTAAGAAATTATACAAGAGAACCTACCTGAAGTTTTAGATTTGAGTAAAGCATTTAACTTCTTCACTAGATGCATGTCCTTTGCTCGCTCACTCTTTTTGTCACTAAAGGGAAACAATTTTAATTGCATGAGTGAAGAGAGCTGAAGTGAATGACTCAGGGTTTTATTTTTTTAATAATTATTTACACTGCTTTAAGGTTAACATCACATGAATTAAACCCAAGTTAACTCATACAAACCAATCCGACTCTTTCCAGAGTACTATTCAGCTCGAAAAGGAACTGAAGGGCTCTGTCTAAATAATACACTGTTTACAAAAACAATAATATTCATTTGCTTATAAAGAGCACAGAAAGTCCTTACCTCAGTGCTAAATGGAAAGGTACATGGACAGTTTTTACACTTCCAGAGACTGGGTCAACAAGGCATATCTGGTAAGTCTGGGGCTGCCACCCTTGACTGGTCACGTTGTTTAGACCCATTATTTTATAACCAGGATACAACAGCCTGAAACCAATGAAACACACAGCCTTCACAGTGAAGAACAAAATTAGCAACCTTTCCTTTCTACACACTGGATAAAAATAAGGCAGACTTTATAAAGCTATGGTTTAACAACTGCTAAATGTGTTTATCAAGAGAGAGTGCAGAGTGATGAAACAAAGTCCCCTCAACCAGCTGCGTTCAGTAGAAACGCTGGGGGCAACCCGCCAGCACTTTCTGCTTTTACCCCTGGCATATCTACATGTCACTTCATTGCAGCAGCACAGCCAATACACCCCCCTGCCAACTGTTTCTTACCTGCAATATTTTCCCACGTTGAAGGCTCCAACCCGAGGCCCTTGCTGCGTGCTCCACACTTCCAGAATGCCTCTCCTTGGAGCATAGATCACAAGGAACTGAGCTACTCTGCTTGGCCCCTGTGCGTTTCCAAAAGGAGAAAAATCCATCTTCTCACTTTCCCTCTCCTGAAGGTCTTCTACAGTCTGTATCCAACCAACTTCTGCATCACGGTACCCTTTGTAAGAGGAGATGGAAGTTCATCAGTGTACAGAAATCGATACATGATTAGGACGCATCACCACCTACTCCTGCAGGAAGCTGTCTTAAACTTCGCTTCAAACTGTGCAACTCTGGCCAGGGGCCAGACTCCTGCCAAGAACTGTGGTCCCCAGACTCGGCGCAGGGCCCACCAGAGAACTCCTCAGAGCCAAATGAAGCCTCCTGAAAAGCTCTGGGGAGAAACAAGTTCTTCTGGGAGAAAAAAAAAAAACAAAAAACAAAACTCATCAGGTCTGTACTCAGGATATTACAGCAATGCAAAAGCTTCTTGGGAAAGAACGATCTGTAAGTAAGTGTGCAAGCTTCTCATGTTTCAAAACAACAACAACAACAAAAGACTTAAGGAAGGAAATTTGCATAACCTATTAAATAGGATATATATATTTTTATTCGTATGTCTTCATTCACATGATTTCATCATAAAAGTGCAATTTTTAGTAACCCAATAAAAATCCTCATCTCTCTTGGTAAAACAGATAATTTCCCTCTGTACTGCAAATAATTTCCCTCATAAAATCTTCCTAAACAAAAAAGGCAGAAATGTGTTAATCACATCACTGAACTATGTAATGGCTTCACAACTACAAATGAAGAGTCCAAATCACAAGTGCAATACTAAGGTATTAAAAAAGGGATTGGTAGGACAATATTCCACATACAGCCGCCTTTGGTTTGTACAAAGAATATACTGAAGTCCTTACTAATGTAAAAACACTTGGAATCCTAAGTCTGAACATAAGAAGCGCAGAGTTTTGAGAAATACTATTTGCAATGCTAATATATACTATTATACCTTTCCACATGCGCACTGCAAGTCCTCTTGTAACATCCAGCAAAATCACCCTTCCAAAATCATCTGTTACTGCTGCCAAAGTGTTACATGGAGAAAGACATATTCTTTCACCATGGCGACGGGAATCTGGAAGTCCAAACCTGGGGAGGGAAAAAAATTAAAAATATAAAAAACCTATATACCTATTTTTTCTTCAAAAGCCGTAAAAAGAGTGTCTTAAAAAAAAAAAAAGAAATCTTAGTCCTTATAAGGTAACATAAGAGTATGGGTACAATTAAAAGTAAATTAAGAAAAAGTTCTTGTGTTATCCACTGGGTGATCTCATAGATCTGTTAAAGTCATCCTGAAAACCAAAGTTCAGAAACCAGGATAGGCAATTGCCTTGTAATGCGTTGTCAGACTCTGGGTTACTTTATAAGCTCTCTCTCATTGCCAAACAGTCCTGAGAATACTCTAAGAGGGAAAAAAAAAGTCAGGAAAAGCAATCAGGAATTAATTCAGTCTTTTATCAGCTTTCTTGATAACATTACAACCTGTTGTTCCCATTCTCCTCTCTTCACAATCAACTGGAAAACAGGACACCTTTTAATTTTTGGCAGGGGCTTTAAACTACCATGAGTTGCTAGCACCCCATGTGGCTTCTTTGAAGCACTTCAGTGACAAACTTCAGGACTGGTATTTGTGTATTTATACCGTCATTACAACATGCACACTGTTCTTTTACAGCAAAAATGAATTGGAAGTGAAAGAGACAAGTAATTATTTGTCCAGAATGGTAAGTTGAAATGAAACAAAGCTTAAACCAAATTACCCACAAGCTATCATCACTGCTTAAAGGCAAGAAAAATAAACACGTTCATCAATTTTGCATCTTTCAAAATAATTCAGATAATTAAAACCAGAAGAAATCTAAAGCAATTCAGATAGCATGTAAAACTTGCCTCACTGCCAATGGGGTCGCTGGTTCAACTTTTGGCTTCTGTTTTTGGGCAGGTTCTTCTTCATGTTTACTTTTCCAACCAAGCCAGCCACTTGCAAAAGAAAAATACAATAGAAGAATCACGCTAATGGTCCTAAAAATCCTCAAAATATTATGTAGCTACTACAACAAAACTAACATATTTTTAATTTTATTACCTGGCAGCATTAAATAATGCTGAAGTCAGTTTACTTGCAACTGCTAAGGCAACATGAGACAACAGTGGCTGTGAGCTACCCTGAAAAAAAGGAATAAAGTGTTTAGAAAGTCAAGAAATAGTCAGCTCTGGGCCAGCCTGAAATGAAGGAACAAAGTCTTTAGAAAGCCAAGAAATATAGTTCTTACACTGGACTCAATTGCAGAACACTTTTTTTCACGCCTCCTATGGACTTTCAGCTCAGAAAGCATAGCTTTAAGACTCTGCAAAATTTTAATTCACTGCCCCCAGAAAAGCCATTCTGACATCTCTTTACCATTTCAAAATCCTCCTGCAAGTCACTGGTAGCTCAGTATGTTTGTCTGCAACAGAAGTTAAAAAACCCCCATGTATGACTTATCACGGAGAGTTAGCTGGTGTATGGCTTTGGCATCCTTGCAAACATCAATGTAAGCAGTTTTTTTCACAAACATATTGGAAAAGCAAGTACAAAACCAAAATTCTGATTCTAGCATTTTCAATCCACTCCCGATGCTGATAAGGACAGCACACACATAGGGTCTGACTGTTGAAGACAGAGCTATGCTGCCAGCCTTCTCCTCCAACATGACAGAAGATGGCTTAGGTGTGCTACAGGTACCATTAAGCATAACTTGCAGTTCTCTTCTACAGGTTCCACTGCATGAAACCAGCACAGTCTACTCAGGCCATGTGTGTACATGATCAGAGGCCAAAGGCCTCCAAAAATCTGTAAGATGCATGTTTACACAATCTCAATATAATTTAAAAAAAATCCCAACCATGGGTTACTTAACTGGCAATAAATTAATGAATTAAAAAAAATTTTAAAATTACTTGACTATCACATTAATTTTAAGATAGAAAATAAAATTTCTCATTAGCAGGACCCTGTGGTAGACATTACTGTCACATCCACTCCAAATCATTCCAGTGTCAGAAGACCAAAAAGGGGAAATGTCAGCATAAAATGAATATACGAATACTTCAGAAATATCCATACAGAAAAGAGAAGTATTAACTATTCAAAGTTTCAGCAAGTCAGCTCTGTAGTACATACCTCGAGGGCAAAAAAGAAACCAGTGAAAGGATTGGATCCAACAGTAACATACTGAGACATAGCAGGTGGGCTGTTTTTTATAGCTGCATTATATCCACCTATATTGGAGGCAGTCTTCATTTGATCAAAAGGAGACAGTGTCATGATGCCTAACAAAAACATTAAAGTGATTGGCTTACACTTTCAGAACAAAGGCATGCAATTGCTCTAAAAGCCTAAATATATTCCTGACTTCTGGACTGACCAGCCAACATTCAGGGGGAAAGGAGGAGGAGCAGCTTTAACCACAGAAATTCCAGAGAACACAGCTAATGTACTTGGGTTAATTATAAAGTATAGTTGGTTTGTTCAGAAGAAAAAAAAATAAAATCATCAGAGTTCAGTAGCAAAAGCACATCTAACAAGTTCACTTCACCTGCCTCATCAGCCCCCTTCTGACCTCTTACCTGCTTTTGTGAAAAGGGTGGAAGAGAAATGAAGTTTATTGTCCCTCAGACCTGCCTGTCTGACAAGAACCAGGGCTTCTGCAAATTCCTAAGGAGTAAAAGTCTTTGAGAGCCTAGAAATCAGTTTGTCTTTTTCGGAAAGGAGCAGTCTCAATTTTTTAGGCTTTTTTTATGAGCTAGATTCAGGAAAGACCTACAGCAGTCTTAACCTGCCTGCCAGACAGTTCTTTAACCAGACAGAAACAGAAATAACTGCATCTGACCTAGTCTCTCTCGACTGTTTCTCACCAAACATGAGAGGAAAAGACAGCTACAGCTCTAACATACTTTCGCTCCTGAAGTGGAAAGAGAAGGCTCAATTAGACAAGAGACAGTAAAATATTTTTTTGATTACAGTTAAAATATATTTTTGATGACGGTTAATGAGAACATCCACTACGATAGCCTTCTCCGATTATTTATTTCTATCCAATCAGTACCATGAATTTAACGGCATGAAAACATTCCATTTCATTTAAGCCAAATATCTGAAATTAAACAGAAATGCTTACCAATACTAGCATGGTCAACAATCGTATCCACATCTTGCAAACCCCATTTCTTATAAGCTAATGGTGGAGGTTGAACATTCTCATTGCCAGATGCTGCAGCTGACAAAAGTTGATAAAACACAAAAAAATTCCTACTGAGTCAAAGGAATAGCATAACAGATGGAAAAAAAATTATGTCATCTGAAGCCACAAAATAAACTTGTTTTAAATTAACATATATTTAAACACCTGCTGAGCTAAAATGGCCTTTTGAAATACCTTAATGAAATTAAAACTTTTTAAAAACAGTAACTCAATAAAATTGTTCATGTTGTTCCATCACAACTGTTTTGTACTCGCAGAGAGCTTTGTTTTGATAGTTATTTATGGTTTAACATTCTGTGCAGTTTTAAAATACTACTGCAATATATTTCTATGGCTTGGGCACGTTTAAGAGGAAAGTCCCCTGCCAAAATACTTAAAAATTCAGCACATTCACTAGATATGTAACAGTGCGGGGTAAGAACACTGGTAAAACTAAAGCAATGATTGAAACTCTTCAAAATATCTATTACGACAAACGTAAATGATCAAGAATGAAAGACAGTTGCTGACACCACAACTAGCTGTAAGCGCCTCTGCAAATGGTGATTTGAGCGTGCTCCAGTTGTGAAAGCAAATTGCTATTTCTCATTACAGCATTTGTCTTCTTTGGTATTTGTTGCATGATTCACAGAATACCAGGTTTTAAAGTTCTGATTTACAAGAGTTTTGCCTTCTCATATATTCCATGAAAATGCTACCTTTCCACTAAGAACAGACAGTACTAGACTCAGGGAACCATTTAGCATGGCAGATCAAGATCTGAGCAGAGCTAAAGCCAGATGTCTAGGGAAAAATATTAGAACAAAGACACACATCTGATGCTTCATCTGAACCAGCTTCTGAAGACAGCTTCTCAGCCAGAGGGAAGCTCTAAGCAATCAGCAAATCTCCATGGATTTCCTCTCCACTAATTCGACAGTTTCCCTCTGAGCCCAAGCAAGCCTTCAGCACCCACACCAGCCTCAAACAAAGAACACCACAATTTAACCTCACACTACATATGCACACGTCCACTTCTTCTTCGGAATTTCCTACCACCTGGCTTCATTTCATGCCACTTCATCCCGAACTGGAAGAAAGAGTGAGCAATCCATTCCTACTGGCCATCCCCACGTGATTCAGAGAAGAGCTGTCTCACCACAATAGCATTACCTAGTTCTTTACCACTCATCACTTCTATCTAAGATTCAAGCCTTAGTTTAAGGGTGCTGTTGTCCCAACAGCCCCTAACGCTGTCCTGCTGCCAGATCCATTGTGCTTCCCACCTACATGCAACCTCACGATTGTCTGCTCACATGGCTTCCCACACAGGAAACAACAATCTGACAAATCTGAAGTGCACCAAGAACAACCATCAAGAAATTGGGGAGGATAATTCAGCAACAGCACCTGTTTTAGTATTTTATCTTGCAGAACTGTTAACAGAGCCACGCTAGTGCCATCTACCCCACAGTACTGTTACGTGGTTCTCCTCTCACAGCAGGACACCAACCTTGTTTTCAAATTAGCGTATCAACAGGCTCTACACTAAAGGAACACGATCAAAGGCTGCACAATCAAACCAGCCATCAAGAGCTCTTAGACATTAACACATAGAGCAGTGACCACTACTGCCATCACCATCACAGCATCATCACTTCCCAGAAAGTCCTTACTGGGAAGAAATAAATGTCACTGACAGCCGTTTCCAGGAGAGCAGGGCTTCATGAGGTGTAACACTTGCTTGAGAAGTCAAATGCCACAACCCTGAACGTTCCCCCTCTTCCCCCTTCTCTTCTCCCAGCTTTTAGCAACAGGCACAATGTTATATGGTATGGGACAGCCCTTTGCTCAGCTGGGATGATACATCCCAGTTGTGTCCCATCCCAATTTCTGGTGAACTCTCACCCTGCTCACTGGGGCAGTGTAGGAAACAAAATGCTATGACACTGTGTGAGAACTATTCAGTAAAAAACCAAAATATTGGTGCACTCTCAACATTGCTTTCACCATAAATCCACAATGTTGCACTGTACCAGCTACTATGAAGAAAATTTACTCTATACCAGTCAAAACTAGTATATAGTATATTGGCATATATAACAGTATACCAGTTCAACTATATATGTATATAAACTAGTATACATAACAGTTCTGGCAGAACCACCAGTATACACACCCTGGTACAACATTTTCTGTAAAGGTATAAAACTGCTTGTGCGCAGTAGATGCTTATATATTGACGGACAAGTAAGGAAGATCCAAGTTCCACTTCATTTGATATTTAACAAACATAAGGAAATTTCATGTAAGGTAAAGTATTATTAACGCAGTCAGAAATGAACATTTCCTCTTTTAAACATACCTCTTGCTACCTGATTGCGACACGCACGAAGAGACTGAAAGAGGCTGAAACCATCAATTGTCACAATTGCTGCTGGGTACAAGATACTTAGCTCTTCATTCTGCAGAAGAAAATTAGAAGGGAGACCAAAGAAAAAAAAACACCTTTACTGCTGTAGCGGCTTCTTTTTATACTATTAATCACACAAAGATGACGCTTACATCCAGAGAGTCAGTATCTAACAAGCCACAGGCAACAGACTAAGGCAAAACTACAGAAATTCAGTTTTAAATCGTCCAAGATATGAGTAAGTGAGTTATTTAGGCACATAATTTAATATTTTTATCTTCTTTCACTGACTTTCAAGCTTGCTTAATATATTTCATGGCTTAGGGAGAAAACGCAAGATTTACAGCAGCTTGTTGAGGCCAGAGAAAAACAGGTTTATCTAGAATGCAAATAGGAAGGCTTTATGAGCCAAATCCTAAAACTAGATTAGAACCTGAATTAGCATTTATGTGCCCAAGTGGTAATTTGGTGATATAAATTCAAGACTCAAATTCCTTAATGCTTCTGTATTGCTAAATTGATCCCTAAACGTCATGCTAAATCACATGAGCATTTGTATAAAGCAAGCTTGGAAATTTCTGTAACTTCATTAGTTTTCTGCATAAATCATGCCAATTCAGCCAAGAGCAAAGTCTATTAAATAGCCCGAGCTCTACAAGAGGCTTCTCTGTAGGAAGTATGCATAATGACATGCAGGTTCCTAGCACTATTTCCTATAAAGATTGTTTTAATTTTCAGCTATCTTTCTGAGATAATTAAGGTAAGTTCTTATGAATCAATATATATAGCTCCTGGCACATGTCAGGTTGCATTCTCTCCTTTCATCAATACATTATCGTATTTTGCGCACATAAATGAATAAACAGGAAATGAATGAAGCTTTCCTTGGCAAGGTTATCACAGAGAACAGAACAAATCTAAAGAGCTAACTAACTACTCAAAAAATAAAAATAAGAAGAAGAAATTCTGAATCCTCAAACTATACAGGCATGAATACTTCTAGAACAAGAAATGCAGAGCCTCTTCTTCTAAGGAATTGTCCATCCCATCAAAAACCGGTAAAGGACATAGAGGATTCACAGAGAAGACTCCCTTCCATACCCCATAACACTGCCACTTCGCTTTTGAAATAATCTGACAAAACCTGTTCTGTGACACCAGGATGTCTGGGAATTTCATAGGTTCTGCACTTAAGCTGTAGGACAGGATCTTCATTTAAAAGCTGTGCAAGAAGCAGTACTCCACTCTAGAAGAGAAAGAATAATAAGCATGAACATTTCTGTCCCTTCTCTTAGGGAAGGCAAAAAGCACTATCTGCAGAAACAGAAGTTTTACAGAAATAGATGTTGATGACAACAGCTTGCTCGTGAGCCTGCCATGCCGACAAACATACCTCAGTGTAAAAACGAACATAGCCAGAGGTGAAGCCAACCACAATGCAGGTCCAGTCAGGACGCCCTGTGGAACTCCTGTTTCACAAAAATATACTAGAAGTTAAAAGCAAATCCTGCTCGAAGCTGAAGAAATATAGCAGTGTAAAGTAAGGAGACTGATAACGCAGATACGAAAGAATATAAATCCTTACCTCTTCTGACTTGCCAATGGGATACACAATACGCTACTCACACATTCACTAGAAACAGGAAGATAAAACTAGTAAGTGTATTTTTCTCCAGTTGGGAAATTTCGTTCTACACAAGAGATCTTGCAAAGTCAGCATTTTAATATATTAATGCAGCACACAATATAAAATTTATACTAAGTGAAAAAACACTTTCCTTTAAAATTTCATTAATAAGTTCAAGAATGCCCAAACACATTGCATGAGTGCTTATTACATCTTGCTAGTGCTGTCTTTCATCATTCACAGACTGATTATTCTGCCAGTACTCTTCAGTAAAGATGCCAGTTAAGTCTCACATACCTCATGTACTTTTTTACTGATCTCTAATGACATACCAAGAACCACTCTAAAAAGAAACAAAAAAACCCAAACAAAAATCCCAAACAAAACAAACACACAAACAACTGAACCATACTTATCAATTTATTTTTTTTAAATACATTACACAATTAGGTAGCTTTATTTTTTCGAGAACATTTGAAGGGCTAACATGGCCTTCCTAGTTAATGCAACAACGGTGCATGCTCAATGCATGGCAGGCAAAACATGCAGAAGGTAAGCAGAGGATCGGGTATCAATATCTCAAATCAAAAGTTATTTAACTGTTACCACTACAGAAAGTTTTACACCATCTGAGGAAACAGAAGCAGTATAAAGGTTTTATGAAAGAGCATATTAATTCAAGATGACAACTCAAACAGGACTTAAAGTATAAATGCCTGTAGTACTGTTGATTATTTGCATTTCAGGTCATCTCCACTCCCCAAGGAGTGATTAAATAATCAGTCTAGACAATTACATTTAGAAAGGGTTTTTTTTCTGTAAGTTTGACACGAGCTGCAACTCAATTACAACTTCAAAGCAATGTTAAATATTTCAGTGAAATCTTCCAATAGCAAAGCTTAGCCACCACGAAACATTATCAGCTGAGGGCAACTTTGGGAAAACAAGCAAACAAAATGTCAAGACTTTGGGCAATTTGACAGTAACTACCATGTGTACGTTTCCACAGAAATAGAGCCCTTACCTACAGCAAAGACTTACAAGATGTGGTGAAAATAACTACGCCTGTCTAAAGAAAGCTACCTGTTCTGTGTGCCAGTGCCTCTTGGGGCTTAACTGTAGTAAGAAACAAACCTCCAGATGGAATTTCTTTTCCTTTTTAAATAAAATGTGACAGGGCAATTTCAGCAGTAGCATGGAGGAAGAAAAAAAAAAAAGACTTAGAGATAAACATAAGCTAGTTCAAATGTGTGGCAGCAGCAGTTTGTTTTGGTTTTTTTTTTAAAAAAAAAGGATTATGATTTTTACAGATTGGAGAGAGGCTGATTAAGTCAACACCTCTTGCAGCATAACAGAAGGGGAAAGCCAACAGGGAGCAGGTTCAATGGCAGACAGCAACTCAAGGCTGCAAACTTAATAATGAAATGCAAACTCCTCTTCCATATGGGAGATTTGAGAAAGCATCTGTCTGGTTATTTGAAGACAGATCAAGCAGAAATATTCTATAAATACCAAATGTACGACCAAAGCAAATTTTCCAAGTCCCTAAATGACTCAGGGCCCAAAAAGCATTTCTTGATCAGATAGATGACTTTACACTTGGTTGAGGTTTTGAAAATTAAAAGTTTTTATAAAACGACTTCATACATTTCCAGTTGCAACATCCCCTAACAGAATTTTATCTCTACTACAAAAGCAGGTTTTTCAAAAAGTGTACTTACTTTTTTCCCTTCTACAATAGGAACTTAAAAAAAGCACCACCTCTTAAAATGTCTGTTACATGCAAATACACTGATTTGCACAGAGTACCTGTTGATTTGTATGAACTTGTCCTGATACCACATTACACATGAAGAGTGACTTTCGCAGACAATGTTTCCAATGATCTAGGTTACTCCATTTCTGTTTTCAACATTAAAATGCTTAAAACAATGAATGCACTTGGATGAAAGCAAAAAAAAAAAAAGAGAAACCCACAACACAAAAATAATAAAAAGCATATGCTACTAATAATTAAACATGAAAATAACATTTTAATTACAGCTGCATTTCAACACCTACCCTTCTTCAACATTGAGAGAGCCACTCCAGCCAACAGTATATTGCATCTCCTCTTTTCCTTTGTCACTGTGCTTCCATTTAGCTGCCATTAAGAATAAAGACACCATCTATCAAACTGTAATGCCTTGTATCTCATAAATGTAGTTCTATTCCCAATTCTTCTCTTCTGTACAATACATTCTACAACACTTAGATTGAGTACCAAGTGCAAGCCTTGAAGATCAGAAAAATAACAAGTCACTTCAAGTGACTTTTCTACAGAACTCTCATGTCTCCTTAGAAATTTACATGGAACAACACACCACTAAAATTCTGAAATGCCTAGTTTTGTTTAAAAATATTTACACAGTAATATCTCCTTCATCAGATTTTATAAGGTTCAATTCCTGAAACAGGGATCCTTAGGAAAATGTACTAAGCAAGGGCAAACTAATCCTGAAAAGACTTCTGAAGATGAGCTTAAACAAAAAGAAAATTTTAATTTTAACCACCAAGAAGGACATAGGAAGTCAGTGTGGTGTGCCACTTGTCTGACACCTAAAACCCAAGACAGGGGGACACTTCTGTATGGTAGAGTTGCCACTGTACAGTTCAGCTGAAGCAGTTCTCCAGCAAGTGAGCTAATTCACCTCCTTATGCTTGATCCAACAAGAACCTTCTGAGGAGCACTGCTATCTTTTCCTTTTTGATGAAAAATTAGCAAGTAATCTACATCATTTTGGAACACACAGCTTTGCAGGGAATGGAAAATGCAGCATAACAACTCAATGCAATTTGTCTAATTATAGAACTTTTGAGCTTCAACCATCTTTTTATTTAAAACTGGAATAATATTCCCCATATCAGGAGGCGTCCCTTCATCATGCTCATGTGCCACCAACTGCAGCTGTTAGCAGCACCAGCACCCTGGGCAACAGTACATACGTATACAGCATTCATATATTACTAAGAATATCTTTAAAAGTTCTGAGAGTCCTACTTTAGAGTAAAATATAAAGCCAGCCATCCTTCAAGACAGAAAAGAATTTCCTATCAAAGGTGGAAATGTCAAAAATAATTCACCTCAATACTCCCTCCAAGTGACAATGGCTCAGCTCAGTTTTTTTCAGGAGAAAAGAAAAATAAGGTCAAGTATTTCTTAACGGCTAAAATTAATACAAAATTTTGTTTTTCTTAGTGAGCACAATTAATGTCAATATCTCTGAGCATTTCAAACAACCAGGTAGTTCTAACATATATTAATTATACATTATAAAAGTTTTCTCAGATCAAAATATAACTGAGAAGTAAAACCAAAGAAACTTACTTGCGAAGCAGTACCTAGAAAATGCATGATGTGTACCATAAAACACTCCAAAATTCTTGAAAATATGACTTGAGGGAGTAAGCAGATGAGGGTGGGAAGAAATAAATCTTATCTTGATTACTATTAAGTGAACTAACATATACACTTCTCAGAATGTATACTTACACACTAAGAAGACTGCTTTCTGTTCATTAGCTATTACCATCAGGTCATTTGTTGGTGACAAGGACAACACACAGTCCTGAAGCCAGTAATTTCTCTGGTTCTTAGAATTAGATTCCTCTTCTTCCTACAGGTAAATCTTTAGTCAATGTATGCGGCAATTTTTAAACATAGCAGAACCTGCAAGATTTATGACAACCATTTGGCCTGCCCTCCATACCAGTGCTGCACGGACTATTATTTATCCAGTCACTAGAGCTCCAAATTGCATGAAAAGCCAGGAGAAATGAAGCAACCTTGCCCTAATTCCGTGTGTTTACAAAACAGAAAACAAAGAAGTACTCATCACTAACTGTACTCTTCAAAATCTGCTCCTTTCACCAAACAGACACTAGAAGAATAAGGTTTATTATTATTGATTAGAGACTGGAAAGAATCTCCTCAATTATTCTGATTATAATCCATACTCAAAATGAAAATATTATCCAAGCTCATACACTGACTTATATTAATTAAGTATATGCACATACAAGACAGTAATTACGCAGTCATTCACTAAAGATTCATGGTAACATGCAACAGGCACCACATGCCTTTTCCACAACAAGGAACTTTGCAAAGAAACAAACTCAAACTAAGAAGTGCCAAATTTTAAGGGTTTAATGATGGGTAAGTAAAGACACAGATACTGTTGTTACATAGAAAAGCAAAAAGATGCATCCTTTTTCCTCAGAGCAACAAGACAAATATTTGATTGCAAAACAAACAAGGGAGCGCCTGCTATCTATAGTTCTAAGGCAAAAATTAGGTAACGGGTTTTAAGTGAACAAGGTCTCTTGGAAATGATATTCCAGCTTTCTTAGCTCCATCCTCTTACCCTGATCACAGCAATACACCTTCCCCTTTTTCACAGTCTCCATGCCCATAGGCACGCACCCAATCCTATCTCCTCCTAGCTCTCCAAAACACTACTCTAGTATGCTCTAGTATGTGAAAGCAGCTAGGCCCAGATTAAAAAAATTACTTCACTTCGATGATTTTCTGATACGTGTGATTTATTCTGTTGTAATAAAACTGCATCTACTTAAAAATACACACATTCACATCCAGCAGAAAAAAAACCACCACCAAACTGCAGGAAGAATTTACATATCATACTCTTAATCAGCTATTAATTTTATTTATTTCCTTTCATAACGTTGTACCATGAAAACAGTCACTTTGCACATAAGAATACTCTATATATTCACTGCAAGATCTACAGTAGCACGCTACAAACATTCTGCTAACTACATTTGTCCACATTATCTCTTGATTTGTGGAAGGGGGCACCTGTTTCCATATTGTTTTTGTGTGTTGATGGTTATCAAGTTCTATAGCAACAATTTTTTCCCTAACTAGTGACATTTTTTCAAGATTTACAAAAAGGTGATGAAGTTCCCTGGGATATTTAAAACAACTTTAACTCTTCATGACACAGATAAATGTCTCGTGCAAAGAAGAAAACAACGAAAACCCAATGAAAAGTCTTGTACTAACTTTTAATGTAATTATTTTCAAACATAGGAAAAAGAAATTAAAGACTTTTCTAAGCATTAAAAGGAATTATAATTATATCTCAGAAAGACTTTAAATAAAATTATCTGTATGCATAAACAAAGAACTTTAAAGACATAACATATGGCCATCTTACATTAGTGAGAAATATAAGCTAAGGGTTAAAACAGGAAAAGGACTGAACCTGTCAAATGAAAGTACTTTAGAAAGTCAAAGACAGAATGACTAAAATCAGCATTTAAGACAACACACCAGCAGCATCATCCCTACAAAACAGTTAATCAGTTCCATAAAAAGGCACCTTACGGAAGAAAATATATAAAAATTTATTTATTTTTTTTTAGATTTTCAACGCTTTCTCCAAAGTTGGTATGTTCCATGAAATAGCTACTTGTCCACGTGACTTGCGTAATTCCAAGACAACGCATTTTATACCAACTAGCACACAGAACAACCAACAGTTAAAAGCTTTAACAACATAATTCATTTTTGTATTATACTAATAATTCTCAGTCTGTGCTAGACTGATGTACTCCTTTTGGTGTCTGTTCAGACATACAGACTCACATATTTATACGCTCCTACACAGAACAACCTGCTGGCTGTGGATTTCAGGTTTCTTCTTCCTCTGAAGAGTTTGACCTAGAAGCACTAATAACTTTGGCAGAAAGCAGAAGAGGGGTCTTCTGCACGAAGGCTGTGAACTACCTGGCAGAAGGGTCAGACAAGTTAAAGAAAAGAGCGAAAAATAAGGCTATTTAAATTTAGCAACATCTGCTGGCTTATCAAATTACAATACAAGTGGAAAACAAAGCACATGATCTCCTCATTAAGGAAGTTACAAACGTTACAACACACCTAAAGATGCAGCCTCAGAAACACACTCATTTCAAGGCAATTATAGCAGAGCTGAATGCCCAACCCATTTAAAAAATTTCATATTCTTGTCGCTCCCTGACATCAGCACCAGCAATTCATCCCTGGGAGACACCCTGCTCATTTCAAATTGTTTGTCACCTCAGCTGAAAAATCTGTTTCCCTGCCAAAGTAAGCAGTTACAAGAATGGTGCTCAACTCCTTGGGTATACTTTCTGCATACTGACAAAAAGACAGCAGATAAGTGAGTTACGTTAGCAAGGTGATATCTGGATTCCTCGGTCTACCCCATTTAGCTCTCCTTAAGAGGGAATTAATCAAGCAATTCTGTTCAGATGATTCATTCAGGTACAGAGAATTTCTACACGGGCAGTTTCCCTACCATCTTATGCAAGTCATTACGCTAGAAGTCTCGGCTTATACACAATTAATAGATCAGCCACGTTATTCTCAGCTGAACTAGTTGAGCAGAGGGACGTCTTCCCCCTTTAAGGAGTAACTCTGTTGCCTTATCCTACATACGTCATTTGATCCCTCCTGTAACACCATCCACACGTCACAACATAAAAGGAGTACTATATGATCATTAGAAAGATGCTTGTATTGATGGTTCATGATTTAGGAGTTTCTGATTCATATTGATTTGTTGTAGATTATTATAACTCCACTGCCATGCCCTACTGTCTCTGGCTAGCTATATATGACAAAAAAAGATGTTCCCAACCGCAGCTGCACAGAAAGATGTGTGTATACTCTAGTGAGAAAAAACCTACAGAACACAAGAGTATGAGTAATTATTGCAGTGGGTAACATCCATGTTATAATTAGAAAAAATTACAGGAGCAAGGGACAAACAAGCAGCAACACTTATAACACCATACAAGTCCCTTCCTGCCCAAGTGATAACTATATAGGGGGAAAAAAACAGCACACACACAAACAAGTGAAAAAGTCTTTTAGGACAGGCAATTTAGCAATGAAACACATATATATGAACTTACAGGTTCTTGTAATTCTGCTTCATCCCAGGTTCCCCAGTCACCATCTTCCCAGCTTGTTGATTTGCCTGCTTTAAAGTAAAAAAGATTTGTCACATGAATACAGCACAGGCAACTAAAAGCGCAATAAGAAAGGACTGCTAGTGGTTGCTTTCCTTTTCCCGACAATGCACTCTAACTTTGTGTATAGCAGATAAACTGAAGTCCTACAAAAAGAACCATGAAGTGACAGAAACAGCTGTCTTAGTTTTCTGTAATTACTTCCACATTTGACACTATGGAAAAGTAATAACAAGAGATGCAACCTAAGCACAAACTTAAAACATGTAATGACATCTGTGTCAAATTAATTCTGACAGACTGCATCTAGAACAGACTTTGCTAAAACAAATTAGCCAATCAAGTTTATCTTTTCTGAGTTTCTCACAGACATTAAGAGAGGTAAGACATATTCCTGGTTTATACAGCAAGCTGAAGTAACGAGTGAGGGCATAAGGCAGGGAAACCCTATGTGTCCACTTGACAAAAACTTCCTCCAGTAGATACAGAGATCTAAGACCTCACTGCAAAATTTAAGCTTCAGTTTGACTCATTATTACTACTCCAAAGCCAACAGAAAGCCCCATCTTGTACATATTAGGCAGCTACAGAGGGAATGTAAGGGGACAGCAGGCTCTCTGAAACCTATCTGTACACAGTCCCAGATGTTTTACTAACTGCCTTTAAGAGGACTCCCTAAACAGTGTTTCTATAAATAAATAATCTTCTTTTTCCATAATAGTTGATTTTTGTTTGGTTTAAGTCAATTATAGGATCAGCCAGCAGCAACGTAATTTCATTTTAACAAGGAACAACAGCACAGGGAAATCTGTGACAACAAACCATCTGAGCCGAGGTTAACGCAGATCCCACCCCCAATCGCAAAGCAGTCACAGCAAAAGCTGAAGCTGTGGCCTCCGACGGGAAAAATGAGCACAAGGCCCTTGGCTATTCCTGTCTTTGCAAGAAAACACAGGGGAAAACGAACGAGACACTGATCAGTTTCAATTATGTCATTCAGAAATCTCAAGAAACCACAAGCTTACGAAAACATCAAACACCTGAGAAAGCAGAAATTCACAGAGACACCTTACAAGAATTAATGCACTAGCCCTACATAAAAAACATCTGAAAATTTCATCTAAAAATACATAATTCAATGTGAATTGAAATTTCACATCAATCCAACACAAATTATTTTGAATTCACATTCAAAATTCTGAATTGCCTATACACAGGCATTTGTAGTAGAAGATGTACAGCTGTCAGCCACGACCAGTGCCGGGACTCTCAATGCAATCCAGTAGAAAAGCGAAGCCCTGACCTTCACCTAGAAGCACTCGCCTGAAATCTGAAGCAGTAACATCAGTAAGACTTCAAGATTTTTCTTAAGACTTCTTTCAGGTTTTTCATTAACTGTTATCATGGCCACTTCGATGTAAAGAAGGAGTTTAAGCGTCACATCTCAAAATGGTTTACATTTAGTTTTAAGCAAGGAAGATTTTGCCCTTTTGTAAGGTCAAACAGTACAGACAAGGAAGTTTCTATCATGAACACTCCAATTCTATGTGGTCCAAAAAGTTTCGCTCCTTTGCGCCGAGAAAAGAAAGGCAGAATCCAGCAAAATAAAACAGAAATCTGTATTCTGTCTGTTTAGATAGATTTTTTTAAACTTCTGTACAGCTAATAAAGACAAAAAACTTGAAGAAATATTTTAGTTTAAGAAAGAAATGTTCCATCAATGCTGTTGAGCACATATTTCACAGGACTGTAGAAAGCAAATGCCCACTCCATGAACAACCTTTGTTAAAATTGAAAGGTCTGTGCCATCTACGAAATGGGTGAGTCAGCCACTTTTACTGCATCATCATCAATACAGATCTGAATGCAGTTATTTCAGGCATGACTATACAAGCCACAATCTTCCAAGGGTCACAGTCTCATCTTGTATTCAAGGTTGAAAATTTTCCAGTGTACAAATATATAAAGTAGAACTATGGCAAATACTTTTGAATATAAACCATGCAAAGAAAACCATAACTACCTTCAATTTTTAGTTTAAGATAGCTAACAAAATTGTAATTCTGCTTGCATTTTATTATCTCAAAAGGCAAAAAAAACGCCTTCCTATAAATTTCATCAAGGAAAGAAATCCATCGATGTGCCACAGGTCGGAGAGAAACATAACCATATCTGAGAAATACAGCTAGGATCAATGTCTTCCCCATAGCACAGGGCAGACCAACCTTTCAAAAAAACCTCAGCCACTTCAATTCAGAGGTCTTTTTCAGCCTCAACAATTCTGTGATTCTAAGACTGAGCACCCAACATAAACTTCAACTGTGAGGACTCCTGCTGCCTCTTGGCAAATAGCTCTATTTTTGCGGTTGTTGTCGTCTTCCTCGGACAAACATAGATCAATCAGAAAATGATGGAAAAATGAGGTAATGGTGCTCAGTGGCAATGGTGATACCACTGGTGAAGTCACAGAGATCACAGAATTATTGAGGCGGGAAAAGACCTCTGAGATCATCAAGTCCAGCCTATGACCCAACACCACCACATCAGTTAGACCATGGCACTAAGTGCCACATCCAGCCTCTCCTTAAACACCTCCAGCGACGGTGACTCCACCACTGCCCTGGGCAGTGCATCCCAGTGCCTGAGCACCCTCTCCGTGAGGAAGTGCTTCCTGAGATCCAACCTGAACCTTCCGTGACGCAGTTTCAGGCTGTGTCCTCTCATCCTGTCACTCGTTGCCCGGGAGAAGAGCTTGACCCCCACCTGACTACTACCCTTCAGGTAGTTGTAGAGAGTGATAAGATCCCCCCTGAGTCTCCTCTAAGCTAAACACCCCCAGCTCCCTCAGCCTCTCCTCATAAGACTAAGATTTTCTCATAAGACATAAGATCTTTCAGAACTATGACCTGCTCTGCAAAGCCAGCATCTTCTCCAACTTATACGGGTTTACAAGATTGCTCCTTCACATCCATCCTCTACATTGCACAGAATGCCTCTGTGCTTATGTATTTCTCAAGGCCCTGCATGCATTCTTTCTTCTACACATTCCTTTTTTAAAAAAAATTAAAAATAAAATTGTTTCCTTATCCATATTATTCAGATACTCCACCTCTACGATGGCTAGCAAAGCAAGGTATTAAACAGACAACTAATTTCTGAAACAATCGACAGAGAAGCAACTCCAAGCACCCTGTTATTCACCTGTGCCAATGAGTCACAATATACGCCACTGAAGCTGTCAGCTTGCAGAGACTTTCCCATGCACCAGCCCAGTGAAGTCGAGCAAGTGAGAGACCAGACAGGCTCCAAGCTCTGTTCACAACGAAAATTTTAAGAAATTCTCCACCATTTCCCTTAGTAACATTACAGATCAGAACTCGCAACTGTGGAATGCAGGACATAATCTAGAAACCAATACCTAAATAAGCCCTGAGCAGCTCTTGACTTGCAACATGTTCATTTTTTTCCGGTCAACTCACTACTGGAAAAATCAAGTTTTCCTGTAAAAAATCTACATTTCCATTAATCACTATCTCTTTACCAGACATTTCTTACTAGTTACAATTCTCCTTGCTTTGATAAAGGAGCATCAGCATTCCAGATTTTGCTTTACTGACGAGACTGCAAAAATGCAAGTTCATCTACTGAGTCTACAATAACTATTTCATTCTTTAAGTTGAAGCTTACAGCATTAAAGCTCCATGATCAGCACATCTGAAACTTTAGAGCTGCTTTAAAAGCTGCATATGTGCAGCACTGATATTAATGCACAAGAGAATTCATTTCAAATATATTTATCATAAACTTAATATCCAAAAGAAAAATTTCTGCTGATAAGCACGTTTTGTTTAAAAGATGAGAAAAGAGGAGAGAGGGAAGCCTTAGCAACAGATCTAGACCAATGAGGTCTAATTGGCATTTAACAGGTCAAACTCAATATGAAAGATTTTCTCTCAGTCTAAGACTTCCTCCCCAAATAGCAGAATCTATCGCTTAGCACAGAAAACTCCACCATCCTCTCTTCCAGAGCAGCACAACGACCTGGGGCAGGCAGCAGAATCCTTTCCCTCCTGCCCTCATGTTTACATTCCAGCTCTAAGCCGCAGGTTACCAGTATGGGCTTGCCCAGAAGAGTCTATGTTGGCCTAAGTGGGAGAACACATCTTGAAAACTGGACCCCAACAGCCACAAAGGTGAAACCACCTCTCCCTACACTGACACACAGCTTTAAAACAAGCAGCTTTATGTTCACAGATTTATTTTTTACATAAAGAAAAAATTCAGCTGATGAACAAGCCAATAATCTGGTCTCAACAGGTTTTAGATTGTTGGCCATGAAATACCAAGCTGCATCAGCTGAAAAACTAATATGTACAGTCTTTGTACGTATAAAAACGATAAATAAAATGAAGTCATCCATCAACTTGTTTCATACCTTAATGTAGTGGTTTTGGCTGGGACAGAGTTAGTTTTCTTCATAGTAGCTGGTGTAGTGCTCTGTTCTGGATTTCATTATTTGTCTTGATAGCATGCAGAGCTTTTACTTTACCTTTTAAACTATCTTTATCTCAACCCACAAGTTTTCTCACGTTCATCCTTCTAATTCTCTTCCTCATCCCACTGTAGGAAGTGAGACTGCATGTGTGTAGTTTGTTGGGTTTATCATCCCTCAGCTTGTTTCCCATCTGTGCTTTAAGAATTGATAAAATTAATATGTAATAGTGCAAGAAATGATTGCTTAAGTGATAGACTTCCATATTTTTTCTATGTATAATGTCCTGCAACTTTGATACCATTGGATTGCATAATTAGTGAAGAAACAGAAGCAGTTTCTTTTCTCTTCAGGCCAAGGAATTTCAGAAATAGTTTAGAATCTTATTGCTATTCAGTAATCACAGGTCATTTATTCCCTAAGCTCCTCTGACACGGGGACTGACAAATACATTATGTTGTTTTGCTAGCATTACTAGGAAGCCCCTTTTAAGACTATTATTATATTTGTTTTCTCCTATAATCTCAGACACCCATAAGTGGAGAAAAAAAATTTACACTTGAACTAACCCAGCTTGCTATTCTGAAAAAGAACCACTTGGGCAATTTCCCTTCCTTTAGATGGTCACAATTGCTTTTAACAAAAATAAAAGACAACTAATTTAAAAATAAGCCAATTACTACAGATTCTTTAAAGTAACACTGCAAATTTTCATGGCTTACAGTTGCAACTTAACTCCAAAACCAAAGTCTGAGGTACTACAGGAAGTGAGGAAAAAGAAAAACAAAAAAAGGAAAATGTTTGTAATGCTATATAGCACAGGAAAGAAAAATTATTATATACAAAACAGAGTATTTCATTTTTCTTTCCTGCAGGTGTGACAGCTTAAGCTATATCAAGAAAGAAGGAACCCTGTGCAGTAACTAACATGCTAAAGCAGCAAAAAACTAAGGTGTAAAGACAATTTTGACAAAGTACTCTGACACTACTGTATTGTGTGTTGAGAGTACGTCGTTTAGTCTTTCTCATATCTCAGAACACATTAACAATTACAGATGTAACAGAATTCAAGTCACGTGCATATTTTTATGATATTTTACATGAAAACCGAAACAAAGGAATCTTAAACATGTATTTACAATCTGGAGAGGGATGATCTGATTAAAGAGGCAATAAAAAACAGCTTGTCAGAAAACTCTTCAACAGGAATATACCAAATTCAATACAAGGGATACAGAAACAGTTAAGAACAACCCTACTGCTACATGCAATCTAGAATTTGATTTTGTAATGTATTTTTTTTTCCTTGTAACCTTGTTTGCAACTCTGAAATAAAAAGCCTGGCCTTCTGCATTTCTGAATTAAATTAGTTGATCCAGATAAAGTAAAACATGCAAACACAACTCCAAAGATGTTGTTTAGAGGAACTGGCCTCAAGAGTACTTACCAGGATGCTGTCAGTGTAATAGAGCCGGATTTTAGAGAAGAGTTTCTCAGCTAGGCTTAAGCCACGAGAAGCAGTGAAGTGACACATCATAGCTCTGAGCAACCCCTCACAGCGGGGGTTTGATTTTCTTCTTCCCTCCAAATAAGCCACAGCATCTCATGGCTGTGTTGAGCCATGCATCATTCTGAGGTGACCAGCTCACTATCACTGCTTGGGAATTCCCAAGGACATGTTTGGGTGTTTGGGCTTTTTTTCCTTAATAATTCCACTTAGGCAATGGGAGATAAATATACTTGGGAACTAAAAATATCAGCACACCACAAAAGCACTGGTTTTTTCACTTCATCTTAATACCCCTGAAGTTTAGCTAGCAGCAGTCCTACCCGGCTACGTCACTGAACTGCTGTCATCAAGCATAGCAAATGTTTTACAACACATAGTTAAAGCTCAGAGAAGTACTTGAAGAACACAGACATATCACATTAAATAAATGGACAGTTAAATTCCTCCAATTATAATAACTCTAGAAAATGTTATGTGTTTTTTTTGTTCAATTTTCTGCTCTCTTCAGTTAAATATCCACTGATGTCTTAATGCTAAAATTCTGTTATGCCTGTGAAGTTTTATCATATTTTGTAAAGATGGATATTTTCATTCATGTGTACAAGACAGTTGTATACCTGTTACAGCTGTTTTATTCTAAAGACAGTTACATACATCTGTATTTTTAATATATGTAGTCCTTTCGCAAGCCTTTTCAAATAAAATTTGAAATTGACAACCTAGATTAACTTACTATAAATAAATGAAACATGCTCCTATGTCAAATACAATTAGGTGAGAAGGTACAGCTTTTTTATTCATACTAAAGACACCTACCTTCACACTTCTAGTAAAGTCACAGTATCACATATTGATTTAGAAACGTATACCACCTGCATTTGCAGAAGCAAGTGAATTCTTTTCATTTGAGATGTAGCCACAAAAATGTTTTACATTAATCACCCCAGATTTTAGTGTAGCAAATACGCACATAGAGCATATTTGTTAGTTTGGTTAGAATACAAAAATGGCCAAAGCTAAAAAAACCCCAACTTTGATCTGTAACTAAGAAAGCAAAAAAGAGAAGACCTACGGCTTCTAAGAAGAATCCCAAGCCCTGCATGCTGAAGACCCTAGAGGCACCTCTTCAAAAACATTTGATAACCAAAATAGGACAGAAGCTTTTGAAAATTCTACTAAGCACCTAACACATTATTACTCAAAAAAAAGTAATCAATTTGTTAATTGAAACACTATTTGTTAAATAAAAATATTTAATATACGTTTATTTTCTTAAGGTAGTCAGCTTTTTGTCATTTAACTACAAAGTTTAAATACTAGTTTCCAGTCAAATACAGCATAATTAAAAAAAAAACAACGCACAAAAAAACCCCAAACAGTAAAAGTTTCTAGTTTTACAGTTTATATACAATAAAAATACTTAGAAGTTTGATACACGTTTACTAATATTTATGTAACTTCTTAGATATGAATAATCATAGCTTAAGTTTAGTACAAAAGCCACATTTGATAGCAAATGAACATAATTTTCTTTGCTGAACTTATCAGTAAAACAAACTACTCTTTAGGAGGCTTCCCCTCCTAAAGAGTCGAACTATAAAAGCAGATTAAAAGTCAAGTTTTTAAATGCAGAACTTTATTAAACTACAGTTTTAAAACAGCACATTCTGCCAGTGGAACAGTTTTTACTAAGGCACTTCCTAATAAAAGTCATTTAGTTATACTGGGCTTAGTTAAAAATATTTGCCTTGGCTCTGTGTGACATATAACTGCAGCTTAAAAAAATAAACAGAACAAAAAACAACAACAACAAAAAAACCCACTCAAAAAAAACCTGCTTGGAAAACTTTTCTTCTGTCCTTGGAGCACAACGTTAGAAGCAGAGATTTGTTTTATGTTTACACACTTCTCATTTACACTTTATTTACAGCAAATAGTTCTTCCATGTGTATAATGTAAAAATCAAGGTAAATCACAATCATCACAGAAAAAAGGAATCAATTTTGGAATGCCATGCAACAAGTCAGTTGATCACTAAGAAAAACAAATCGATTAGTATGGAGGTAAAACAAAAAAAGGAAGAGGGAATGAAAACCGAGTCTAAAGGGAAAGAATCTCCCGTTCCAGAGTTGAACACAGTTTTTTTGATAGCTTAGTATACCTTCACAGAGTTCATTTCAACCATAAAGTAAATTAAATTCAATGCCAAAAACTAAAACAAAGTAGTAACAAAATAGAACAACACACATGCAGAAGTTTTAGTGGTAAAATTAACTAGCTGAACATACAGCATACTTTTAAAACTTTTTCACAATTGTTGTGTCATCTTTTTACCAGGTTCTGTAATGACAGGACAAGGGCCCACAGTTTTACACTGAAAAAGGGTAGATTTAAATTCTACATATAGAAGAAATTTTTTACAATGAAGGTGGTGAGACACTGGGACAAGTTGCCCCAAGAAGTTATGGATGTCCCACCACTGCAAGTGTTCAAGGTCACGTTGAACAAGGCTTTGAGCAACTTGATCTAGTGAGGCTGGGCTAGATGGACTTCAAAGGTCCCTTCAACACAACACACCCTATGATCTTCCTCTCTTCTGATTTCCCCCACATATTTTAAGCTTTTTAAATAAAAGCAGCTTGCTGCTTTCTCTCAGAGCTCCGTCTACAGTTGAGAGGACTTTACGAGCATCCTCACTAACATCTTCACTTTCTTTCCACGCTGTTGACAGAAAGCCAAAACATCAGCGACACAGAGCTAACACAGGACAGTGCTAACATACAGGCTGGCATTTCATTTCCCTGTGCTGCCTGCTGTTGGTCCTTCCTCTCTGTTGAGGATACAGCTTCTACGCCGGACAGCTCAGCTTTTGCTGTGCAGTGCCTCACACAGCAGAAATCTGGTCCACAAGTTCGGACTGTAAGATTCATTATCTTTGACAACTTTACTAGACTATCTTCAGCCAACTGCACACTCTTAGCGACAAAACTGCAAACTTCCGAGTCTGCAGCCAAAAAGCTTCACTTACAGACACCAGGAAAATTCGAACTTGTCGGTGAAAATCTGACAACTGCAGCTGGACACCCACCCTTTTAACAGCTCTTTACCACAGTAACGACGCCGAGCACTCCGCTATCCGCCTTTACCCCCTGCATATCCCGGGCACACCCCCGAGCGGAC